AACTTTGGGTGCTTGATTTAGAAACTGTATTCTTTTCCTTTCCTGTATTATTTTCTAACTGTATTAAAGTTCCTTCCCATTAAAGTCTCATGTTTTGTGTTGGTGCGGTGGATGGCAGAACCCATTCAGAGCAGGCAGGTTTGTGGGGTCTGGGCTGCCCCTCTCCCTGCCCTGTAACAATGGGACACGAGTCCTCCCCATGCTGATCACAAGGTAGAGCAGAATAAAAGAGCCGCTACAGGCACTCACTGCTACCTATGCTGAGGATATCTGAGGATATGATAATGGCAGATAGCACTGAAATAGAAGGACAGGAAATTAAAGGCTGGGGTGGGTGTTGTTGGAGCCCCAGATGCAGGTAGCTTTAAGCCCGTGGGCTCCCCTCTTATGTGAGCCCGTATACTGTAAGACACTTTTGGTTTAAGCCTATTTTAGTTGGACCTCCTTCATTTGGAACATAACAATCGGTGAGTACTCATTATCTTTGTGAACTTGGGCAAGTTATTTAGCCCACTCCTCCCTACCCCACCAAAAATCTCAGTTTCCTCATCTATTAATTGAGAATAAGCTCTACCCCAAAGGTAGATGAAAGACATCAGTAACATGCATACATTTTCATCATCTGATCTCTGTTAGCGATATAATAGTTGTAGTTGGTTCATCATTGATTATAATAACTTAAGTTACCTACTGACAGGTGATTGGATAAAGATGTGCATATATACAAATGGAACAATATTCCTATAAGGAAAGACAAAATCCTGCCCACTTGCAGTAACATGAAAGGACCTTGAGGGAATTAGGTAAAGTGAAATTAGCCAGAAAGATAAACACCAATATCGGAGATTTCCATATGTAGGGGATATAAGGAAACTAAATGATCTGAGAAAGCAAAGTGAAAATAAACTAGTGGACATTGACAACCAAACTGAGGTTACTAGAGGCGAAGAGGGTAGGGGGTGGGAGAAAGGATGAAGGAGGTATAAGGGGTGGCAGTGAGTATTTTGTTTTGCTTTCTCCCCTTTCTGTTTTTGTTTTTGGGGCTTTTTCTTCAAAGAAATTTAAAAAACAAAGTTCAAAATGCCTTCCCAGTTGCCTACAAGACCATATTGGAATACTTGAGAACACAAAAGTTAACTCTAGAAAATGTTTTATTTCTTCTTCCTCTTTTTCAGGAAAGAAAAAAGCAAAACAGTGCTTGGTGCACACGTGCACAAGAAGCCCCTGCCACCTGGCCTCCTGCGGCCACGGCTTAGAAACAACCCCTCCAGGGGTATCTTCTGCTGTTCGCTTTCCACCTGAAAGCACCATTTGGTGGTATAGGGCGCCCCTACACCCACTGCCACCTGAACTGGCCCAGATGCAGGTTACAAGCAGCATCCCGAGCCCCAGTTACACCACTTCTCAAACTTGCTCAGGATGAGGCGCAGGGTGTTTGTGTTCTGCAGAGCAGCAACAGAACTAGGAGTCCCCTCTCCAGTGAGACCCGTGGCTGCGGTTTACTCATGTGGACTAACATAGTCGGTGACACACATTTCACAGGAACAAAGCTGCCAACCAGGACTTGGGAGCAGCTGAGTTTTCCCTTTACCACCCTTTGCTACTACTGATTTCCCTCTGTCGCCTGTGAGCTCGCAGGAGCACAGAGGTGGAGCCTGGAAGGAGCTAAAAGTTTAAGTTGTGGGGGGAAAAGAGTGAAGTCACTATATTTTATTTTGCATAGATCGCAAAATAATTTCCTGGGAACCATTGTCCTGGTACAGGGCCCTATTTGGAGAGTTCTAATGCCCAGTTTTTAAAAAAAAAAAAATTGTCTTTAAACACCTCCACAAACACATGATGTAACTTTCAAAATGAACAAAGTAGGATGCGGTGCTGCAGCTTCCCAGTTTCCTTCCCCAAGGGCAGCCACCATTTTCAGTTTCTCGTGTGTCCTTCTAGACATTCTATACCAGCATCATCCAGCAGCGTTGCATCTGTGCTGTCCAGTATAGCTCATTGGCCGCATGTGCCTGCTAAGCATTGACATGTGACTAGTGTGACTTTGGAGAGCACTTTTAAAGTTGATTGAATTTAATTGAATTTAGGTTTAAGTGGCATTTGGACACATTCACGTGTAGGTAGCTGTGTTGGGCAGTGCAAAGCATAGAGAAGCACACTGGATACACTGTACACATCTTGTTCACTCAGCAAGGTAATCCCTAACCCAACCCAGAGAGCTGTGGGCCACCCCTTTTCAAATAAGCTCTAGAGTCTTCTGTATATACGATAACAACCACACCTCTCAACAACTTGAGGTTCCACTTTTATCAGCCTAAGCCTGAGATTGCTTGAAGAGTCCCTTTTAGGGACTGAGGGAAACAACTTACCATGAGTCACTTCCCTAAAGTATGCTCTCCTCCCACATGCCCGTGCATGGGATTCGTTGGTGATGGTGACATTCTTCAGGGTTAGTCATGGCTATCAGTGGTTCCCCTTGGAGTACTAAGTCTGCTGGGAAAAGCAAGCATCTGGGGTGGTTTTTGCTTTTGTCCTGGTGAGAGAGGCCAAAGAGATAAGAGGGGCTAAAGGGCTCTCCACTGAGGGCTTTGTGGAGCTGAGGGAATTTGGTGGGGCTACATTTTCTCTGACATTGCACTGCCTACAGCCCATCCAACTTTCATTCCAACAAGAACATTCCTAACACCAAAGGATCAACTCCAAGAGTTTCTCTAGTCACCTCTGAGGATGACTGCGTCATCAGCACCCAGTACCTCACCAGCTGCTCAGCTAAAATGACAATACCTTTTCCAGTCTCTGGCTTAGATGGCACTCTACCATGTGACTCCATGTAGACACCCCCACCCCCTCTCACAAAGCCTTGAACATCCACAAGGCGACAGAAAAAGGAGTAGGGTGCCAGGATCCCACCAAGTATGGAGGGCTTTCTCACTCTACCTGTGTATGAGGTAGGCTGATAGTGCTGGAAGCCCAGCAAGCACATTTCACAGATTCCCTGGCCAGCAGGGTTCTGCCAATAAGATGTTCTCATGGAAATGTGAAAAAGAGGCGGAAGTCATTCTGTCCCCTCTGCAGCAGCAGACATGCAGGCTGCATTGGATTCCACATGCCCACACCGGTTGGCAGCCTTGGGGGTGTGGGGCTGCAGTGACCTCAGCAGTGGTTTCCTGAAGTTCCCTTACTTTTGAGTGGCACCAGCAACTCAGGGTCTAAGGAAACTAGGCATGGTAAAGTAAGCCGAGGGGTAGTGGTGCAATCCTGCCACCCACAACTGTCATTACCAGACTGCTACCACCTCTCCAATCATAAGCACCAGCCTCTTGTATAAAATCTTTATTTTTGCTTGAAATACCCAGAGTGGTTCCTATTTTCCTGTGTTTTAAAATATCTGTAAATTCTTTTATTCTTTCTTCAAAAGGCAATTCTAGTCCCCTAATTATGTGTTATTAAAACCCTTCTCACTACAGAGTTCGAGCTCGCATGGGGTGTTTCTGTCCTTGTGGCCTAACAGTGTGACTTCAGGGTCTTGTACCATACCTGATCCACAATGGGGGAAGCAAAAGTGGCCACCACTAGCCCATCCTCAGTATTGTTTTCGGCTCTTTGATGGCAACCAGGGCCTGTGCTTCCCTGTAGGCCCACGCTGTGCAGCAGGGCAGTGTAAGAGCAGGCTGTGGAGGCCAATAGTCCTGAGTTAAAACCCTGCCTCACAGCTTTGCTTGTGTGGCCTTGGGTGCTTGCGTAGGGCGCCCACCTTCTTTGAGGCCTGTTTCCTTATCAGTCAGATGAGAATCATAAAATATCTTCCCCAATTGTTAGGCCAAATAAGACTATCAATGCCTAACTCAGCCTTGGCACCAAGCCAGCATGCAATCTGTGTGAGCTGCTGCTGCTTCCTGTCACTACTACTGCTTAGTCTTGTGTTTCGAGTATAGTAAATATCTGTTGGCTCACCAAAGTTGCCACATAAGGAGAAACTTTGGAAGGTCACTTGGTTGGGTACCAGGAGGATACTTGGCACCGGCCTCGCGTAGACAGACACCAGATAAGCCACTGACAGCTGTTGATCCAGTCGAGATCACTGGGCAGCATGATGTGCCTCCAGAGCTGTGCGCTATTGTCCCATGGTCAGGACACTGTTCACTGCATATTACCAAACCACTGGCAGTTATCTGTGCCCATTTAGGTAAATTATCAAATCTCGCGCATTTACAATGTCTTTTACACACTAATGCATTTAATTGGCTTACTAAATGTGATTAGAGTTTCTTTCCAGAAGGAGTAGGGGAAGCTGCATGGTCTGCAGATTGTGCTTACATTATCCCTTGGAATCATGCAGCCTTGGATCTGTGCTGGGTGAGGAAGGAAGTGGGTAGGTCTGGTGCTGGGGGAGCTGAGCAGCACATGTCTGACACTCAGAGGGATCAAGACAGGCTGGGGTGCCGTACATGCGGAAGGAGAAGTGGCTCCACCAATATGTTTTCTGAGACAAAGGCCCAGGAGGGCAAAGTTGGGCAGTTACTGCTCTCACATTCTTCTTTACCCCATCCCTAGCTTGATAGGATGGAGAACTCCCTTACCGAGACAGAGCACACATTTGTGCTTGAGTTTGTGAGTCTGGGAAAAAGATAGGCCTTAGTCCCGCAATGGGGAAGGCTCCATGATCCAATGTTTTGGCAACTCCAAAGACCCTTAAGAGGGACCAGAAGTGGATGATCTTCTTTGGGTCAGAGCTCAAGTATGTTGTGAATACCTGGTACTTGGTGAACCAAGGGGGAGAGAATAGATTGTTATTTACTAGTCTATACCACTCAAGGATTAGTTTTCTCATTCCTAGGCATGGATATATTGGGAAACAAGGGAAAAACACTCCTGTCCATTCCTTTTTGCCCAGATTACCTCTTGTGGAAGGACTGGCTGCCAGGAGGATTCTAGCTCCAGTTCTGCTTTCCTTCCCTGTGGCCCTTGTTATCTGTATGTAAATGTTCAACTATTTACATTTTAATTCCTTGCCACATGGCTCGAATTGGTTTTGAATTTATATATTTTAATATGATAAAATAAGTATTTTATAAGCAATGCTGTGAAGCCAGTATCTGAAAATAAAATTTGCAGGTGGCCCAAGGCAGGATGGGATTCACTCTGTGGTGGTCTCCTGAGCTGCCTCACTTTCCTCACCTGCCTCTTCAGTAGATTCTTCGGTCTTCTCTGTTGGAGTGTCACGGATCTCCCTGGAATGAGAAGAATAATGCCAAGAGTTAAACTTCTCATTACTTCTCATTTTATTTTATTATTTTTTTTTATTTTTTTTTAAGGTTTATTTATTTATTTATACAAGCACTGGGTACAGTCAGAAGCGCGGGAGGGTGAGAGAATTCACCAGAGCCAGAGCGGGGAGCAGAGCAGGCAGAAGGACCGAAGTACACTGCTGAGGGGAGCAGCGGGCGGCAGGAGAGGTCTGCGCGCCATGTGGGACCCTCCTCCGGTGGCCGGGGAGCAGCCGGGGATCGAACCGGCGCTGCAGAGGCTGCAGGCAGCTTCGCAACCCAGCGCTCAACCGCTGCGCCACCGGGGAGGCCCTACTTCTCATTTTAGATAAGCATTTTAAACTGCCCCAATCATTCACCTTGTATCCTTTTTGAAGATCTCATCCTCATCAGAAGAGTCCTTGTCATGTAGCTTCTGTGCCATGTTTTTCTTGCGTGTGGCATTAAGGGGTCTATACATGTCCCTAAGCCAAAGTGGCCGCCTTTTCCAGAAAAAGCCCTCCTAGGAAATAGAAAGGAAAATATTAATTTTGCATTTTCCCTGCTTTCTTCAGCTAACAGTACTTTATCTCCTCAAAGCTACCTGATTCTCATTTTCCGATAAACATCTCCTTTGCAGCAGAAATCCAAAGAAGCCCCTTGGAAAAGAACACACACAATTAGTGATTCATGCCACTTTCCATGTTTCCCACGTGTGTACCTCTGGTCTGACGAGGATGAGTGGGTTCCTCAGTCCATAATTACAATGAGCAAAATCTCCACAAACCTGGGATCTTGAAAATAATTCCATGCATGCTGGACTTCCAGTGTTTCTGGGGGAAACACTGTCTTCATGGGAGATAGTGGGGGAGACTTTATGTATGGCTGGCATGCAGTAGAGGCAGAATTTTTAGTCCCACTCATCTTCTTGGCCTTTGGCCAAGTGCGCTCTTGTAGCGAACAAACTGCATTTACCGCACTGGTACTAGAGTTTCTCCAGTGGAATTTTTTATCAGTCCCCTTTGGGCTTTGTCTCACAGGCATTTCTGGGAGAAGGGGACGAGGTGTTTCCATTTTCCTAGCTGCTTTATCTTACAAGTTGAATCACACCAGGTAAATTCCTGGGTCCAACTAGCAAAGTCATCTAGCTCACTAGCTTTCACACCGCAGGCTGTCACTGAGTCGTGAAATCAGGTTAAAGGTCCTGACCACAATCAAACACAAAATATTCTTTTTGAATATGAACAGAGGAGAAAAAAAAATCAGTGTGTATTATAAGTTTGTTTTAGAAACTAACTATGTCTATAAAGTATGTATGTCCTGAATTGAGACTTAAAATGTAGTTCACAGTCTACTACCAGCAGGGACAGGTAAAAACCAAAGCTTCTCCCTGCTTGTGCTCTCTTGTGAAAGCAGTGGGGCAGCAGGTGCTTCTGTGAGTCCCACCCTAACTCTGCCTTGGCTGGGAGCTAATCTTGCTGAATCTGGCCAAAGCATTAGGATAGCTAAGTATCCTTCCTGCCTTTGGTGGTTTTCTCACTGTGAAATAAGGCTGAAACAGGTAAATTTTAATCTCTAGTTCCAGAATTCTACTTTAAAAATTGCCAGACTAGTATTTACCTTGATCTTCCTTCTTTATCTTCTCTCTCTGATGCTGTTCTATGAGAATAAACCTGTTTTGGAAGAAAACATGATCATGATTATCTATCACCATTATCCCCAAAATCATTATTTATTCCTTTCTCGGTCTTATGACAACTATTTTGAGAACAGGGGAATTTTTTCCTCTGATTCTTCCACAGTACCTAACTTAGGATCTTGCATGCAGCTAGTAAATACATTTTATTCTTTGTTACAACATTCAATAAATAGTTCCAAATAAGCGGGAAAAGAATAAAACTACATCTAAAACATAAACAGCATTATTTTTAAAGTCAAGAACTAAAGTAGGATGTCTGTTGTTACTGCTATTTGTCACTGTTGGGGAAATATAATTAATGCAATAAGAAAACAAAGTATTAGAAAGGAAGAAACAACATATTTACATATGAAATAATGGAGAACTTAAAAAGACCAAGAGAATCAACTAAAATTCTACTGGAAGCAATAGGAAAATTCAGTAAGATAACTAAATACAAAATCAAGAAATCAATATACAAACTCCAGTAGCTTTTCTACATATGTTATGAAAAACTAATTAAAAAATAGAAATATTCCATTTGCAATATCAATAAAATATGCACAAAGTACCTAGGAATGAATGTAACAAAATGTGTAAGAACTTATTAAACATTTAAAATTTTCATTTTTAATATTAATGTAATTTTTAATGTAACATGAAAACTCTTGTGAAAGACAAAATAAATGAGCCTTGAGGAAAGACAAATGTTTCTATTTACATCAAAAATGGGAAAAGTTCAAGGGAATTCTGGACAGTAAAGCAAGTCAGAATGATAAAGACGACAATTAGACTTTACAAAGTGGACAATTTGACAAAGCAAAACACTTGTAAAAACTAGGAGACACTGATAGATGAAGCAAGGCTTCTGAGATTAAGAGGGAGGGAAAAGAGAAGTGGTTAAGGGGGTATATGGAACGGGAAAAAAAACAAACCTGCAAATTTGATGCAATACTACTCAAATCCCAAGATAAGGATTTTTGCTTTGTTTTGTTCATAAAAATTCATCAACTAACATTTGGTAGTGAAAATATGCAAGAACAGCCATGAAATGTATGAAAAAGAAGATCAAAGAGCAATAGCTTCCCCTAGTAAAGTATGTCATAAAGCATCCGTAATTTAGTAGTCTGATGCTGGTGCTGGTAACAGGGAAAGATGACTGCATCAACAGAACAGAGTCCAGATACAGATAGTAGTTTACATTAGTGAGGAAAGAATGAATCACGCAATAAAAATATTTTAAAACAATTGGATGGATGTTTGTGCGTGTGTGTGTCTGGGGGTGGGGGTGGATGAGATCCCTTACCTCATTTATATGAGAAAGCAAAACAAATTCCGGAGGGACTAAAAATATGAACAAATGTTGTAAATGTACTAGAAGAAAAGATCAGACTATTTTTATACCATGAGGTAACAAAGGCCTGGCTAACAACACCCACACTTCATAAACCAGAGGGTTGGCAGATAAGGTGACAGACTCTCAACACACTCCTCCTCTTCATAGTTCTTGCCACTTCCCCCCCTACCATGTTTGTCTTCTTTTTTGATTTATAAAATTCTCTTTATTAAATATGTCAATCCTTTCTGTGGTTTTCATCAGATTTCAATGTTTCAAATATTTCTGAGTGTTTTTGTCTTTAAGGAGACAAAGAGCAGTAGAACAAGGAGCACAGGCTTTATGGTCAGGAGAAAGTGTTCTGCTTCTGTTTTTGCCACTGGGACTTAAGTTGATCTCCACATATAGAAAAGGGCTGATAACACTCTCCTCACAGAGTTGTGGGGATTACATCAGACAATATATGGGCCGATATATGTGTTTCCCAATATATGGAAGACTGCCCTATACTTGGTATAAATCAGTGCTAAGTTTGCTAATGGTGTCAATTCTATCAAAGGTTTCTGTGGGTGTCAGGCACAGTTAAAACACTGGGAAATACATTTTTGGAAATACATTAAGGTGAGGAATAGGTAGCTGTTCAAATAGTTAGGCAGCTGTTCTATTACTATTTATCCATTTTCTTCAACATGAATGATTAGGACGTTAAAAGGTGACATTTCAAAGTCTTATGAATACATGGATCTGTCTGCTACTGAACTTGTATGCTACTTCAAATAATATTAGGTTGCATTATTCCTCACTGTGGAATTGACATAATGCCTCAACTCTTCCTTTGGATACTATTATTGCCTACTACAGTCATCTTTCCCTGTCACTACACTCTTGTTGTCTACTACACATAGTCCCTGTCCACAAAAAGTTTATCATCTAAATGGCATGAGGAAATAATGAGCATAGAGACACAAATGCAAGGTTAAATTACAAAGGAAGCAGTATAGGAGTTTATGGAAATTCCAGAAAAGTGATTTGCCACCTGGAGATGCTGACGGTACTCTGCTCAGTGGCCAGTGACTGACTTCCCAGAGGTCTTGGCTAAACTGACCCATGCTAGTACCCAGACTCTTAAACTCAGAAATCACTGTCCTCACCATGAGAGAACTCATTTCCCCCTATGGGGGCAGTCTCACATTATCAATATCATAGGCTTAACCAAAAATCAGAATGCCAGGACATCTGTTCTACACAAGCAGGAACTACTTTCTGCAGAGACAAGCCTCCATGACACCCAATCAGAAGGCTACTTTGGTGAAACAGAGTAAGAACAAAAGGTATCAGCTGAATCCAGGATTTAACGGAAAGGCCCGAGGTAGCTGGATCCATCCCTCTCCCCCACAGGAATATCCTGGCTAGTGGATCCGACTCTCTACATCTGCTTCTTGAGATGCTATCTCTATTCTTGGGCAATGCTAGGATGGGCACTGCCCATGTTAATCTCTTCCTCACCTTTTCTATGCTTTTAGACATGTTTCTATGCAAATAGACATGTTTCCCTTTAGCCATTAATACATCCAGTCAGGTTTCCTCAAGTCCCATAGAGCAGGTTGCCATTTGGTCATTACATATCTCTGCTCTGCTCTGTGGTTGTGTTAATCTTGGTGTTTTTCTTGGAGAGCTACATTTTAAAAATACGTTTACAACATTTTTAAGTTCTCAGGGGAGGTGCTAACTCATATTAGCCCCTATGAAATGCAAAAAGAACAGAAGGATTAGGACTAGAAAGGCTGGAAATCCAGGGAAAGCTTTATGAAGAAAGACAAACTTGGGTTGGCTGTGGAGAGACTCACAGGACTTCCATGGGCAGAGAGAAACAAGGGAATTTTAGACAAAGGCAGAGTCAAAAGTGGGGCTGGGCGTGGTGTGACTATGGCATGGTGAGGAGCCTCTGGTGGGAATGGAGGGCTGCCATGAGACCAGAAAGGATAAGGAAAATCAGGTTGGGTTGGTAGAGTCAGGACTGCCAGCTTACGAAAGCGCTCTTTTAATGGTAGCATCTGCCTGCTGGGAAAAGCAACGACCATTATGTAATAGAATGAAAGATAAACAGACAAGCTCCAGGAGGCTACCATAAATATGACATACTTTAAAGCATCTGGATGTAAAATTGTAGCTGCAGTACCTTAACGGAAGGTTATTTACACAACCACTTACACGCTGGAGAAGAAAGCTGCTAAGTAAATGGACAGGACAGCACTTCTCTTTTAGCCATACCCTTTCTCCCAGACAGACTTACAGCTCCATGGGGGTGGATATTATTTCTCTTTCATCACTTCAGTCAAAGGAAAGAAAACAGTGGTGGAATGATAGCACTGAGTGGTGATTACAGGTTCCTGACATACTTTTGAATTTAAGAAATTTTATTATTATGTCAACCCTGGCCTTCTTAAACTCAACTTTTCAAAATAGTGCAATGGCTTGTTATCTTGGCTTCAATTCCAGAGACCTCCTGCATTGAGGTTCCTTAAAAATAATCCTGGGTGCATATATTTTGCAATAAAAAGAACAAAACATAACTCAGAACTTGTGACTGAAAATATCAGGTAATAGTAGGAGGGAAAGTGGTTTTGTTTGTGAGTTATGATTCTACTAAAAAACAGACTGGATTTGGGAAAGCTGAATTAATTGTTCTTACCTCGATGAGACAGAAGATTATGATCAAAATCATTACCACTGTAGTCACAGATATTGCCAAGATGAGTTTGTTGTTATAGCCATATCCTGGGACTTCTTTTGTGAGCTAGGAAAAAAAATTTTTTAAAAACAAAGAGATGGAATGAATGAAAGCTAGCTGTATTTTTAAAGCTATTCTCAAGAACATCTAACTATCCTTGAACTGCTCTAAAGCCCCATCCTTCCAGGTGAGTAGCTTATGTTCTTAGAGAACACAGCGCGTCTAATGTGTTACGTAATCTCACCATTAGCATTTTCTTCTACAATTCATTTAGTTTGTGTGTTCGGTCCACTTCTTGTCTAAACTGAGGCGGGATCACTGTCTGCCAAAGTGACATGGCCAAGACGAGGTACAGACTAGGAGCCCCTGGTCTTCCTTCTTGAATGCCTTAATGGCATGACCCAAACTGACGAAGAGCCCAAACTGTTTTTGGAGTTTTGGGAGTTGTCCTCACCTCACTTGACTTCTGCTCTTTCTGTTCGCTCTGGACTTCTGTGCTCTCGTTGATGTAGTTCTCAGTTTTCCATTGGTCTGTATCCCATTCGGCCTTGGACACCTTTACTTCTTGCTGCTCACTGAGAAGCTTCATCAGGAGACCTGTTCTGGAGATGAGCTTGGCACAGGCCAGTTGCACTTGGGTCTCAGAACAGTCCATTTTCAAAGTCCGGATAACATGAGAAATGAGCCTTCTCACGTCATTGTTGGGAATGAGGGACCGTAACTGCTGGTTTAGTTGAATTTCAAATTGATCACCTGGTGAGGAAAACGGCAAAAACGTGGAGCTTGTGGGCCTGCCAGGTAAGTCAGTGCCCATGTCGTGGTATTCCCATTGTGTTTCATTAGTTTGTTTAACAGTTGGCATAAAGTTGTTTGCAGTAACAGCAGAAAGTGAAGAGGAAAAATTCTTATCAGCATTGATTTCAGGGCTAGTTTCTTTTGGCATAGTAGTGTTTTCTGTAGGAATATTTTCTTCAAAAACATTTTCTGTACTTTTTTCTACAGTACTGTTTTCTATGGAAAATTCTGGAAGAGCATATAAATCTGGGAAAAGATTTTCCTGAGAATTCATTTCTCCTGAGGATGAAAAATCTTCCCGGGAGGGGGAATTTATGAGGCGCCTCACTGCAGAGAATGGAGGCTTGTTTGCAAGCATCAGTCTATTGTTTGAAGTTTCCTTTTTGAATTTTGGACTCACTTTAGCCTTGGGTGTTCTGTGGGCTACATGAGAGCGAAGTTTATGAGAGAGGTATATTTTTCTGGAACGTGATGGTTCAGAAGTCTTCATATTTCTAACTCTAGCCTTTGCATTTTCTAAAACAAAAATAGTGTAGCTTAAGTCTTTTGACTTATTTTTAGCTTCAGGTAAGGGTTTGAGAGTAGTGGAGCCTGAAGATCTCCTCATGGAGTTTTTCAGGAAAGAAGAGACAGCTGCCTTATGTTCCTTTATGAACGAAGGCTTAGTGTTGAAGGCATTTCCCACTAATTTCCTGGGCCTCCGCACCATGTGCAGCTTTTCCAGTTTCCTTGGGGCTGGTCTTTGGAGTTGTCTTCCTTTGGCAACATTCTCTGCAGATGACAGGGCATTTTGTTTCCTCTTGATGCTCTTATCTCTCACTTCTTTGAAGTATCTTTTCTGTATGCCCCTTGGGCCCTTAAGGACCTTGTTGACTCTCAGCAGCCTTTTCTTTACACCCTGAGTCTTTTTCTGTGGTCGGGCAGTTTCTAATTTCTTTGGAAAGATTTGGCGTTTAAATTTGGGACCTAAAAGATTGGAACGTACAAGCATGGCAGTTTTTTCTTTCTTTTTCACCTCATCGATTTTTTCTTGAATTTCTGCATCTAACAAATTTTCCAGAAAATAGAGTTTCCGCAATTTATTTTTGTAAGTTGAATTGTTAGACTCAGTTTTAATAGACGGGTTCCCTGTGCTGTTTTTCAAATGACCCAGAGGCTTATCTCCATACTGTACATTTGAAAAAAGAAGTTTAATGAATGGTAATAATGTTGATTCTACATCTTCTAGATTTCCCTCCGAGAAATAAGGCAGTATATAATTTAGTGCACTAATAACATCACTTTCATCATTAAAGTCTAGCTGCTCATTCATGAAGGCTGAAAAATTGATGCCGTTTATGTCTGAGGATGGCTTTTCTGGCTCAATAGTCAGCTCAGTGCTGGTGCTCTTCTTTCGAGCTTGTAATACTCTCATGAATGATCCTTCGGTATTCCCTATGGATGCTTCTTCATCTGTCAAAAAAGAAGAATTGCCTTTGAAAATGAAAGACTGGGGGGACAGCATTTTGTTGATCCACAGTGGTACATCCCAGTTGAATAAATAGGAATTAGCAAACATTTCAGTGCCAATTTAGAGGACAAAAATAAACACAAACTTAAACTGACTATTGGCAATAACCAAAGGAGAAGATATCTTTTGAAAAAGTGGAAATCTACTCAGAACACTACATAAATGAAATATAGTAACTATATTTAGGATTTTCCATTGATCCCCAAGAGACAAGCTCCCAGTATTCAAGAAAAGCCAAGGCTAGAAGACAAATATTCCCCAGTTCAGTTAGATTCTCTTTCGATCTACTACTATGTCACACTCATAGAGCCCAATCCTGTCCTGCCTCAGATGCAGAGGCATCTGAGATGAGACATCGCCCTCCACCTCTACAGTATGCTCATGTTCTTGGTATGATCACAGGGGGCCATGACAATACCCACTAGCAGGCCTTCATCCAGATATGCCCTTTTCCACCTACCCACTGATTTCTTTGCCTGGGCCCCAGTCCCATATATTCCAGGCTCTATAATAGTGCTACACAGGGTGGGGGGGGAAACCCACTATGTTCACCCTGTCTTTAATTAAATCTGGGCAGGTATCTAGGTATAGGTTAAGGGATTTACCAGGTTGGATGCCTATGTGGAATATTTATTAAATCGATGAAATAATACTTTAGGTCCTAAGATGCAGAAGGGAAAAAGCAACTTGTGTCAGATGCTTGCTTTGCTCTCATTTCATTTGTTTTCTGATATTTTCATCTTTACTTGGGGAACCATTCAGAATTTCTGACTGCAGCTGGGTCTTCTTTCCAGAAGAATTAAAAGGACTTTTGGTGGTGGTGAGGGTCAGAAGAGGAGGTAAGGTTAGTGAGAAGGGAGGAGCATGGAGATTTCTTAAGAAAATAAAATTGGAAATTGCTGGAAATGATCCAGCAGTATCTCTGACAGGTATTTGCCCAAGGAATATGAAAACTCTAATATGAAAGAGACATATGCATGCCTATGTTTATAGAAGCACTGCCCCAACATTTGCTAAATCATAGACCCAACTTAAGCATCCATTGATAAACAGCTGGATAAAGAAACTGTGGTATATATACTCAATGGAACACTATTTAGATGTTTAAAATATAAAATAGTGCTTTTTGTATTAATGGAATAACCATGGGGTGATATCTAAGTGAAATAAGTTAGAAAATGAAAGATACCGATTTCACTTATCTGTGGAATACAAATAACCAAAAAATATATACTGGTAAAATATGGCAAAAACAAATCTTAGACTTAGTGAAAAAAAGTTACTGGTTACCAAAGGGAACAGCGGGAGGAGAGAAGGGATAGTGGGGGGAAGGGGGTAGGGCAGTGGCAAGGGAGTTCTGGGCAGGAGGCGGGGTGTGAGGGAAGCACATGCATATATGGAGGAGTAAACATGTAACCCTAAAGTTATATACACAAGTAAGTGACTGGCAAATTTTTAAAAATTCTCAATAAAAAAGCAGCAGCGCTTAAATTCTTTTATAAAATTGCAAAAACCAACACAATAAATGAAAATTTATCTATATCTCTCCTATAAGGCAAGGGCACTTGAGACCTAATATACATATAAAACAAGTTTATAAACTATGATGCACTACACATGAATAAGTTCCCATCTGAGGGCAAAGTACCAAGCAGGAAGCGTGGTGAATGTTATATGACCATTTATGTTAATCCCTTCCTCTCCATCTTAATATAACAGACTGACTTTTAACAAGGGAGTAGTTCTTAGAAACTTAGGAAGTTGAACTCTGAATGAATAAAAATAATACAACTATATTATTAGTAAGAAAATGTATCATCATTGATTAAAAATTTAAACAAATAAAATAAAAATTGATCATCAGGCAATACAGACTCACCACAATGTGTGGTGTTTGTCAGACATTCATTATCACAATGCAGCTTGACTGTCTTGCAGACAACCTCAATAGTATTTTTGAATCGACAGAGACAGCAGGCCAGATGACTAGGTAAAATTCTATAAATGGAAACATAGAGAATCAAATTAGTGGTAAAGAAATTACTTATGAATTTTGGAAAGGCAGGTGAAGGCCACGACGGGGCTATATCAAAAGAAGTTCTTGGGGCATATAACCCAAATAGTTGGGTCGGGACCACCTGACAAATTGTTGCTTTTAAATAGTGTAAATATATAGAGGACAAAGGTGGCCAATAGAAGAATAAGGGTGGCAGTGGGTATAAAGAATGCCTAAAATAAAGGCAATAGGAATTAGAATTGGATGATATTGATCTGTAGTTTGATTCAGAAGTGTCTCCTCCCAACCTAAAAGTCTCACTTGGGTTGAAAGTACACAGGGAGACAGTAGACTTGAAGAGTAACTAAGTCCCCAATGTCTAGTGTTCGCTTCTCAATTCCTAGTTGTGAGTGGTAAGTATACTAGGAATTATTCTAGGTATAAAAAACAGCTTGGTTTAACCCACATCATGTAGCTAAGCAATAACAGGTCACATTGGTGGAAACTGGACAATTAGAAAAAAAAATTCAAAAGAGTAACAATTAAAAATGGATTTGAATACACTTAATTAAAAAAGATATTGCAGAAATGAATAGACACTAAGCATTGCCAACTACTAGAGAAGTACAAATTAAAACCATAATGAGCTACACCTACCCAACTACTAACAAGGCTAAAAATGTTTTTTACAAACAAATAAAAGGAGCGGGTAAAGACATGGAGCAAGCACAGCTCCACATACTGCTGCTGGGAATGCAGACACTTTCGAAAACAGTTTAGTAGTTTATTAAAAAGCTAAATATGTACTTAGCATATGATGCAGCAAGCTCACCTTTAGGTATTTACCCCAAAGAAATGAAAACATGTTCACACAAAGATGTGCATTTCAGTGTTTTTAGCAGCTTTATTCATAGTAGCCCCCAAACTAGAAGCAACTCAAATGCTCATTAACTGATGAGCATAGAAACAAATTGGTATAGTAACATAACTAGAATACTACTTAGCGATAAAAAGGAATGGACTGCAGACAGGGGCAACAGGGTTGACAAATCTCAAAAGGATTATGCTAAACCAAACACAAAGAGGTATACACTATACTAATTCATTCATGAGACATTCTAGGAAAGGCAAAACTATAAGGACAAAAATCAGTTCGGTGGTTACCAGGGGCTGTTGATATGAGGACCATGCTGACTATAAAGGGTCATGAAGAGGTCTTTTTGGGGTGATAGAAGTGTCCTATATCTCGAAGTTGTGTAGTTACTTAAATATATGTTTCTCAGAACTCACTTAACTGTCACACTTAAAAAGAGTGAACTTTATTACCTCGATAAACCTAAGAAAATAATGAAAGAAACCTAAATAACAATTAAGCTAAAATAAATGTAAGGAAAGTCAACTTACAGTTTTTCCAAGTCGAGGGTCATCATGAGGATGCTCTCAATTGTCCCAAGTGATACGTGTGTTGTTCCCATATCTCTGAGGAACAAAGTCAGACATGCATGATATGAACCCAAGTACTAAAATTCTCTGCTTAAAGAGATAACTTAATAACATGATTAATTCTATTCCAGCTTCTCTATAAAGCCAGATTTGCAAGAGTTTATTTGCCATAGGTAATAATTCCAGAGAGCTCTTATTGAAAAAATAGTTCTTTTCATCAGATTGAACTTCATCAAATTTTCTTTGTATTGGTCAGAACAATCTTTTTTTTTTTTTTTAAACCTTTATCCTACTTCTCATTCTCAATTGTATCTGCTTCTTCTGTTTTCTTTGAAAAATAACATAACCTTTTCCTCTTTCTTTCTGGGGAAAATGATATTTCTAAATGCATTTGTATGTTTCATATCTGTATGAGTTCTTCAACACTGCTCTCTTCCTTTGCTGGCTGTCATACCCATATACATTCTTTTAGTTTAGTTTTTTTTTTTTTGCCAGTAATTCTTATTTCAATAACCCAACTAAAATTAAAGACTTTTTTATTCTAAGTGCAAATATTTAATCTTTGACAAAAGTATAAAAGAGCAGAAATCATCTCATGAGACATGAGATTGTTACAATACTTACAAATATTTTAATGCTGGCAATTTAAAAAGAAATGAATCTTCAACAGTTGTCAGAGGATTACGACTGAGGATTCTAAAAAATACAATGAAATTAAATTTATTCGAATTTTCAATAATTACTATGAAAGTTTATATATTTATTTATTTATTTTGGTATGGCTCTTGAAGGTAAAAAAAAATCATTTTCTATGTTAACCTATAAGTCGCCCTTAGAATCTGTAAAGCACTCTTCCTTTGGGAATTATTCAGATTTCTATATGATAAAGTGGAGAAAGAAAAAAATAGGAAAAAAGTGGATAGCACAGGGGCCTCCCTGGTGGCACAGCAGTTGAGCGCTGGGTTGCGAATCTGCCTGCAGCCTCTGCAGTGCCAGTTCGATCCCCGGCTGCTCCCCGGCCACCAGAGGAGGGTCCCACATGGCGCGCAGAACTCTCCTGCTGCCCGCTGCTCCCCTCAGCAGTGTACTTCGGTCCTTCCGCCTGCTCTGCTCCCCGCTCTGGCTCTGGTGAATTCTCTTACCTTCCTGCGCTTCTGGCTGTACCCAGTGCTTGTATAAATAAATAAATAAATAAATAAATAAATAAATAAATAGAATAAATCTTAAAAAAAAAAAGTGGATAGCACAGAAGATATATGCCAAAACCTTTTTTAAGTTGAAAATCCTAGAAGTGACTATGCTAGTAGGATGTCCTTACTCTGTAGGAAATATTATTTCTAGTATTTTCCATAACTCAAAGTGCTTTTGTTTGATCTCTTAAGATTTTAAACAACTTTGAACTTTAATCTACCCAAGTAGATGAAATATAGCACAATTTCCTGGTTTTGGAGTCACAGGAGGGATGAATCTAAGTGGAAGTGGTGAAGCCATCCCCTCTCACACACTCCCCTGTACACACTTGTATGACAGCCTTTCTTACAGTAATGTAATCTCCTGTCTACTGGCCAGTCTTCTGGACTATCAGTTCCTGGAGGGCAGGAACCATATTTTATTGTCATCCTGTCTGACATAATACCTGATATTTACTAGATATTTAAGAAATGTTTTTGAACAAACAAATGACATTGTTTACATAACAATTAAATGAACAAATTCATTTTTGACACAAATTTTTATTCAAAAATGCTGGAAAAGATGTTCTTCTTAACTCTTTAAAACAAATAAGAAAAAACAAATCCCCAAAAGAAATAGAAAGAGGGCCTCCCCTGGTGGTGCAGCAGTTGAGCACTGGGCTGTGAAGCTGCCCGCAGCCTCTGCAGCACCAGTTCGATCCTGGCCACCGGCGAGGGTCCCACATGGCACACAGACCTCTCCTGTTGCGCCCACTGCTCCCCTCAGCAGTGTATTTCATCACTCTGCCTGTTCTGTTCCCCGCTCTGGCTCTGGTGAATCCTCTCACCCTCCCATGCTTCTGACTGCACCCAGTGCTTATATAAATAAATAAATAAATCTTTAAAAAAATAAATAAATCTTAAAAAAAAAAAAAACAGAAAGAAAGAAAAGAAATCTGTGTTTAGGTTAAGTCAAGAATCATGAAGTACATATGGAATCACCAAAAACCCCGAGTAGTCAAAGCTCTCCTGAAAAAAAAAGAAGGGAATGGAGGCATCACACTCCCAGACTTCAAACTATACTTCAAAGCCATAATCATCAAAACTGCATGGTATTGGAACAAGAACAGACACACAGACCAATGGAATTGAATAGAAAATCCAGAAATAAACCCACAGATTTATGGTCAACTAATCTTTGACAAAAGAGCAAAGAATATGCACTGGAGCAAAGAAAGCCTGTTCAATAAATGGTGCTGGGAAAACTGGGTCACTACATGCAAAAGAATGAAGCTTGACTACTACCGAACACCATGCACAAAAACCAAATCAAAATGGATTAAAGAATTAGACATAAGACCTGAAACCATAAAATACATAGAAGGAAATATAGGCGAAACACTACATGATATGCACATCAAAGACATCTCTACAGACACATCACCCAAAGCAGTGATAGTGAAGGCAAAGATAAACAGCTGGGACTACATCAAATTAAAGAGCTTCTGCACAGCAAAAGAGACAGTAACAAAACCAAAGAGAAACCCCACCGATTGGGAGAACATTTTTGCACATAACACTAATGATAAAGGACTGATCACAAAAATCTGCAAAGAGCTGATGAGACTCAACAACAAAGAAAATAATCCAGTCAAAAAATGGGCAGAAGAGCTAAAAAGAAATTTCTCTGAAGAGGAAATGAAAATGGCCAACAGGCATATGAAAAAATGTTCAACATCACTTGTAATCAGGGAAATGCAAATCAAAACTACCATGAGATACCATCTTACACCAGTGAGAATGGCACATATTAAAAAAACTAGCAACAACAAATGTTGGCGAGGGTGTGGAGAAAAAGGAACTCTCCTGCACTGCTGGTGGGAGTGCAAACTGGTCCAACCACTATGGAGAGCTGTGTGGAGATTTCTGGACCTACTAAACATAGAGCTTCCATATGATCCAGCAATTCCACTCCTAGGTATTTACCCAAAGGACACAGAAACATCAATTCCAAAGAACACCTGCACCCCTATGTTTATAGCAGCACTATTTACAATAGCTAAGCTTTGGAAACAGCCCAAATGCCCAAAAATAGATGACTGGATCAGGAAGATGTGGTACATATACACCATGGAATATTACTCAGCATTCAAAAAAGATAAACACATGCAATTTGAAGCAACATGGATGGAGCTGGAAGGGATCATGCTCAGTGAAATAAGTCAGAAAGAAAAAGAAAAATACCGGATGGTCTCACTCATAGCAGGAATCTAAGAAAACTTAAATAAGGGACCAGGAAAAAGAATAACTATAAGAAAGAAAATATCAAAATCAACAAACAACTATGAACCAGAGACACTCTATGGGAGGTGGGGGGCGGGGAAAGGAGGGATTGGGGTCAAAATAAGGGGGTTGTAATTGTATGGGGAATATAAAAATAAAATTTAAATAAAAAATTAAATTAAATTAAAAAAGAATCATGAAGTATACTTTTGCAGAATATTATAAAGATAATTATCACAATGGCTATTGGGTTGCCAGGAATCTGTGATTAGCATTTCACATTTAATCTGCACAATAACCTTTTGTGGTAGATATTATTAACACCCCATTTTACAACTTAGGAAACTGAGGCACAGAGAGATTATATAACTTGTCCTAGGCCATCAAGTTAGTAAGAAGCTGAGCTGGATTTAAATTCAGTTAGGACTCCAAAGCCAGAATGAATTAAAGGGGTTTAAAAGAACTGTTACTTTAATCTTAATATCTGAGAGCACTAAATCAATACCTTTTCAAAGGTCATCTATGCATTCTGAGAGTCTCTAAGAATTACATTTTCTCTTGTATTCCTTTTCCCTAATCATTTCCCATGATCAAGTATTTAATTAGCCTCTATTGTCACTGAGATGGGAAACTTAAAACAATGTTGTAGATGAATTAATAAAAATGGCGGAATAAGGACATCTGAAAATTCAGCTCCCTATAAAAGCAACAACAACAAACTACTGGCAAAAATTATCATGATCAACTATTTCAGAACTCTGGAAATTTAACCAATGGCTTGCAGCAAACTTGGTAATTTTAAGAACAGTGAGATTTGTCTTTAACTTATCCAATGTCATTATTCTCTATCCCAGAGGTGGACTGGAAAAAACAAAAAACAATAATGGGTAGATGTTTTAATATGGCAGCTGCATGGATAACAACTTGGACAAAAAAACAGCCTAGCCAAAAAGCTTAAAAGTAAAAGTTGAAGAATGTCCATAGAGGCTCAGGTTCTCTGTGATCAAAGAGTGTGGTCATTGTCAAGACTGAGGGCCATGCAATTTGTTCTTGCCTTGGGACCTTCTAGATTTTTTAGTACCATTAACTTGTCTCATTTGTAACAGTAGTCAATAGTAAGATAAGGTTATGAAGAGAAAGGTTGTGATTGTCACATGTATGTTTCTTTAAGTGCAGTTCCTCAAACCTTGAGGCTCTGAATGTCATTTGCTTTGAAAAACATTTTTTTTTTTTTTTTTTTGGCATTAAAATGCTGCGTGCAGGGCCTCCCTGGTGGCGCAAGGGGTAAAGCACTGCACTATGAAGCAATCCACAGCCTCTGCAGCACGAGTTCGATCCCCGGCCGGCCAGGGAGCTACCCACATGGTGCAGCAACCTCTCCTGTCTCGCCCGCTGTTGCCCTCAGCAGTGTATTTCAGCCAGTCTGCCTGTTCTGTTCCTCGCTCTGTCTCTGGTGGATCCTCTCGCCCCCCTCACCACCCCTGAATCTCTGGCCTGTACACCAGATCTTGTATGCATAAATAAATCTTTAATAAAATAAAATAAAATAAAATAATAAAATAAAATAAAATAAAATGCTGTGTGTAAACAACTGCTTCCATCGTGGCATCTCCCCCTCCTCAACTTCCCAGTCATTAAGAATGACTACAAAGCAACATGTAGCAAAAACAATTTAGCAAAGTTTGTTTTCCTCCAAAAATTTCTCAGCTCACCAATCTTTGACTCCTTCTTAATTAGCTTACCCATGGAAGTGTACCCAGTGTTTCCTCTTAATCAGGCAGCCCTTCTCCAACTGAGATTAATGTCCTTGCATTTAACCCCAGTGAAATCAAATATTGGGCCAACCTAAATTATCCTATTTCCTCCTCCTGTTTTTAGTGCAATCTTTCCTCACTAAGGTTGGACCTGGGCAAAGCAGAGAGTGAGAAAGAAATGATTCATCAGCTCGTATTTGGGGACCTATGAAGCAACTCTTCCCCATAAACCACAACACGAACAGTTTTAGATTCACAGTGGACACTGCACTGCAGATCACTTCCATTTTGGTTTAATTCCCTTATTTTATAGACAAAAGTTCTGTTAACTCCTAATCCATTGCCTTTTGACATTCATAGGCTTATATTTGGGGAGTAAAAAGACTCTCAAAGTGTAAGAAGTATTGTTCAAAATCACTTTTAAAAAACATATCATATTTGGGGCCTCCCTGGTGGCGCAGGGGTTAAGGACAGCTCTATCAAGCTATCGCCAGCCACTGCAGCACAAGTTCTATCTCCAGCCCACCAGGGAGCAACCCACATGGCATAGCAGACTTCTATCTCATCCGCCTGCTGCTTCCTTCAGCAGTGTGTTTCAGTGGATCTGCCTATTCTGCAACCCACTCTGTCTCTGGTGAATCCTCTCACCCTCTGCACCTCTGGCTTACACCCCAGTTCTTGTATGTATAAATAAATAAAACATTAAAAAATATACCATATTTGAAGGAGAAAACTCAATTTTTGCATAAGACATATGCTATAGAACAATGAGACAGATTAAAGGTAGCTTGCAAAACAAGGGAACATCTCTTACCTGCTATTTTTTTTCTCCAAATTCTTCTACACAGGTCCAGACAGATGGGCTATGTTTCCTTTCTATTAACTGAAGAGACAGAGAAGAATTGAGGACTGAAACATGTCATCACTGTCCTGAATGTACTGAAATCCTAACAGCTTTAGCTGAAAAAATGTCCAAAGCAGGCAGGGAAAATTAAAATAGGACAAATTCCAAAACTGTCTATGCCAGAATCTCAAGGCAGGTAGGGAAAACTGGTTCCTTGGAGGAAGGTAGTCAAAGAAACAAGCAAAGTGACCTAGACCCTGTTCCAGCAGGTTCGAAGTACTTGGGGATGGAGTAACCCCTTTCCTTTATTCATCTACATAGGTCCATGAGCCATGAGGGCATGACTCCCCACGTGAAGCTCCTCAATACAAGACCTCTAATTGCATCACGTAAATCCTTTCTCAGGGGGCAAAAATCTTAAAGGATCTAAAATGGTGAGTCTATATTTTAATCAAAATTCTGAGAACAACCTTAAAGTAGAGTCCCTGCAGTGAAGAACAGCAGAAGAAGCAAAGGATGAGGCAGGCCTGGGTTTGAACTGTGGTCATCACTTTCTGGTGAAGTGACCTGTGTAATGAACATCTCTGAGTCTTAGCAGCAGCTGCCTCAGAAGGCAGTTTGAAGATTAAATGAAAGAGCGTGTGCAAAGCACCGAGCATAAAGCTGGGCTTAGAGTAGGTGCTTGGCAGTGTTGATGCCATATCTGCACCAGCCAGGGAGCAGAAACCCTGGAGATGCCCACCCTGGGGATGGCCAGGAGTGTGGAAGTAGTAGAGGGAAAAGGAGTTCTCAGCCTTAAAGGTCCTATTCAAATTAGAAAACAATTTCAAGAAATAACACATGAAAAGTCAAAGGGTCTTCATTTAGCGCCCATTACAAGGGAATGCAGAGCTGCATAGAAAATTACATGCAGAGCTCTTAAGGAGTTATGCCACTTAGTAGCAATATGGAACTAGATAAGTTATCCAGTGTTTCTGAGCTTCGATTTCCTCATCCCCAAATGGGGATAATAATATCTACATCACAAGAGTTGCTAGGGAAATGAAAATGAGATAGTGTGAGGTAACATGTATGAAGCCATTCACCATGTGCCAAGAAAGAAGAGCTTTAGACATGCTATCTTATTTGTATAGTAAGCAAAAGTACTTAGTATAATGCCTGGAAGATAAGTACCTAATAACTGTAGGTATTAAGGAAATGTTACTGGGCCGAGGAAGAATTACTAAATTTCTAAGAAAGAAGACACCTTATACAGGTGGGAAGAATAAGATGCATTTGTGAGGAGAAAAGTTTAGTAGTTGCTGGATGTGACAATGTGAAAACTTCTGAACTATTACAACTAAAAGTCACCCTAAATCACTCCCAGAAGATAGCCCTGAGTTGTTATTTTCATCCTTAATGTTCATGCCTTTCTGAATCTGAGAAGAAGCTGCCAGGATTCCAGTACATATCAAAAAGTGATGACAATACACTGAAGTGTGTGAACTTGTATGTGTGCACACCTATCTACAGGAAACTGATGCTAGTTGCCTGGGGAAACATTATGGTTTCTCTCTGACCTCAGCTCAGTCTGCCGTCATAGTAGATGGTCTTCTATCAAGTGGCGACGCCACACTCAACAGTGGGGAGGGAGTTAGGTTTCCTTTTATTCTCTCTTTGTGCTTTTTCTTGGCACCACATTGATGTAGCGCAGAGAAGCCAGCGTGTGAATGTGCGCTGTCTGGATAAGGTACAGCCTTTCTACATTGCACAGTCCTCAGTCTCTAAAACCATGGAGCTTGTATTGTTAGAAACAATGAAGTGACTGAAAGAACTTTTAAAAATAAGCCATCAATCTGGACCTGTGTAGGTGAATGAAGGAGAAGCACTTTTAAGTTGGGAAAAAAGTATACTTAACATTTGGGATTATTAACCATTGCTGATTTCCAAAATATATTTCATCTGAAAGAAATATGATTATTACTACCATTCAAAAATTGTATTTATAAATAAGCTCTTGGCCTATCTCTGAGGTGGATTTCAGATTCAAAATAGACTCTTTACCACACTGCTAACTTGTTTCCTAAGTGTTTGTCAATAATATACAAGCTTCATTCAAGAAACTTCCTGTGTTATAACTACCTGGAACCCAGGGATTAATCAAGGTTTGCGGGGCCTGGATTTCAGGGCCTGGGTTTCCCATCTACTTTGGGAAATCCTGCATAATGAAAACATGCAAAATTACGAATAAAAAATTGCTAGGACCCCTCCCAAGACCTTGGAAGGGGCCTATGCAAGCAACAAGCCTTCCAGCCTAAACTTCATTCAACTCGTGATAAATCCACTTCAGCTGGGTTTTTTTTTTTTTTAAACAAACATTTAATGCTGGGAATATATTGTTTCAACTCATAAATCCCAACAAGGTAACAGGTAATAAAATGATTTAACTTGAGGGGTGGGGGTGACATCTCCTTTTGACAACTTGCCTTTGGGAAGAGATGCAATGAAGTTTGTATTTCACCACAGCAAATGTTACTTGGAGCAAATTAACTTTGTCTATTAAAAGAATTTGGCTCAAAGCAAAGGAGCCCAGCCCCCAGGGAATACTTCGTGCATTGTGACAATCTTTTGAAAGTAACTGTGAATTAAGTTTTAGGAACACAATTCTATTCAAGTCACATGACATGAATATTAATTTATTTCCAACACCACTTAGCTCTGCTTCTTTCATTACCTTTTTCCGTCATTTGAAATGAATACAGAAACTCAAGATAAACAAGTTGGTACCTCCTCCATTTTGTCTTCTAACCGACTGCCCATTCCCTACTACGCCACCCCCGACCTGTCACCCTCCCCAGAGCTGCTAGCACAGCCCTGGTATGTTATCCATCTTCTTCCTTACAGTAAGAGTTTCTTGGAGACAAAGTCCCTGTTCAAGTCTTCTTTGTATCAACACTTTGTACAAGTGCTGATACACAGGGGCATGTTACTCAGCAAGAATTTTTGAATGGGGGGGCCTCCCTGTTGGCGCAGCAGGTTGAGCACCGCGCTGTGAAGCTGTCTGCAGCCTCTGCAGGGCAGGTTAGATTCCCCACCAGCCAGAGAGAAACCCATATGGCACGGCAGACCTCTCCTGCCTTGCCTGCTGCTCCCCTCCGCAGTGTCTTCGGTCTGTCTGCCTGTTCTGCTCCCCGCTCTGTCTCTGGTGAATTCTCTCACCCTCCCACGACTCTGACTATACCCCAGTTCTTGTATAAAAAAATTTAAAAAAAAAGAATTTTTGAATGAATTCATTAATTTTTACCAATAGTGATTCCACAATTTTTTTTGGCAACTTTTTTCTTGTGTTGCCTACATAGCTACACTGAAACATAGCTTCCTATAAAAGACTCTTGGTGTTATAAAATGCTTAATAAAGATAATGAGATTAAGACAGCACATTGATGTTACTAAAATTTCTTGGTGGAGGAAGCTAATATGTCCTTGGGAAAGGAAAACTGATTGTCAGTATTCTTTTTCCAAAGAAGGCATCAGCAAATTAGTGAGTGGAAAGGGGAGGCATCAGATGGGCCTCTGCAGAAACTGTTAGTCCAGCTTCCGGAGACACCCTAAACACCTTCATGTAATCTTTAGTGAACTGTGAAAACTGGATATCTGAACCACAAGACAGTAAGACCGTCTTTTCCAATGTCAGGTCTAAAGTAGATCCTCACCTTTGGACTAAAGTCCTTGTCAAGCCAAATCACTGAATATACCCACAATGATTTGCTTGTATCAGAAAAATCACAGAATTTTTTAGTTGAAAGGGATGAAAGTATGTGGGATTAAGCTACAGCAATGTATTTTCTTTATGAATATTCCATACCACAGACACTTCTATTGCTCAGAGATAATTCACTTTTTGAAAAAATGTTCTTGGTGATTTGGGAGAAAAGGGTCCTGTGGCAGGTTTTCATGAATTCTTTCTGCTTTGTCATGTCAAAGAAACTGATGGCAAAGGAAGGATCCATACCTGTTCCTTGGAGAGCTTTATGCTAAACTTAATTCTTTGTAGCTCTATGTTGCATACATATAAGAACTTTACACATGAGTAGGAATCAAAGTTAAATTAAAAATGGAATTTCCAGGACCATACACATATTATAGTAGCCATCGCTCGGATTCCCATGTCAGTGCCACTCTGGTGCCTTTTGTTGATCATGCCCAGAGCAGCATGAGGGAAAGCAAAGCATGCCATATACAAGCCAATCCCTTGGCCTCTTTGTACCTTAGTTTCCTCATTTGAAAAAAATGAATGAATCTTAAGACATAATTTTCAGAATTCACATTGTATTTACCCTCAGATAACCATCAGTGGTATGATATTTCTACACATAGTTTTTCACATGTATTCAGTGTCTACTTCACTTACAGCTTATGTAAAAACTGCATTCCATGCCAGGCCTGAAACGTTCCAAAGCTCAGTTCTGTGAGTAAGTTGCAACCAAGATTTCTACAAAAAAAAAGAAGAAAAAAATTGATATTCTTTCAAAACATGTATTCTTTGGCAGTAATTCTAAGTTATATGTGATGAAGTATAACCTCAATACTTTCTCCATGCACTAAAGAAATCTCATGGTGGAAGATATTTGCTTATGACTTATACTTTCATGTTTATACATTGGTGCAGTAGATACAAGATAGTAAATGCTCAATAATACTTTGTTAAGTGATCTTTATTTCTCTAGAACAGAGTTTCACGACTTCAGCACTGTTGATATTTTGGCCTGGGTAATCCCTTGTTACGGGACAGCTGTTTTATGCATTCTAGGATGTTTTGCAGCATCTCTGCCTTCTGCCCACTAGGTGCCAGTATCATTATCTACAGTTCTGATAAGACATTGCCAAATGTTACCTGGGAACTAAGTCACCCTGCTTGAAAACTATTGTTCTAGAATAATTCACCCTGACCTGTGTAATAATTTTCACACCAATCTTTGTTAGAGACAAAAAAAATTGCTACATAATTTTAGTAGCTGTCTATTAATAAAATTTTAATATTTAAAAATGAATAACAATGTTTATAATTAACTTTTATAAACATCCCAGATATAATGAAGTTATATTTATAACTTACACAAACTGCAAGAAAGGTAGTGGTTCAAATGTACGCCTTTCAATAGACTGTATTTTATTGCAGGATAAATCTCTAGGAAAAGTAAAAGGAAAGTATTGCCTCAATTAGCTACTAGATATCTAATTAGTAGGAATAACTAGAAGAGGTCAGAATGATAATACTGAATGAGTAACTTTTCTCTAAACTCTAAACCTTAGGAACTAAAATTTAAAACTTCCAGAGCCCTGAACCCTGTCTCACCTCTCCCACTTTCATAGTCTTCATAAATAAAATATATAACTATAGATATTGATAAATTTTGGAGGTCATCTTTCCTGATAGTAGAAGAATTGATTATATGATCTTTTATGTTCCCATCAAATTCTATAAGCTCAAAGTTTTTATCTCTATATGTAATTATTATTTCTAATATTAAAGGGAAAATTCTCACATTTATACACCTTCCTTGTTTAGTGATATTTTTCTAAGGTCATTTCAATACCAGAAGAAATAAAAGACAACCTGTCACATAACTTGAAACCCCTCTAATTTATACATAACTTTGAACTAATTCAGAATTATACTTTCTATTATATTAATAGAAATTCATGTTTTGGTTTTGCATTGCCTTAATAGCACATGAACTTCATTGTTTCAGTTGCACAGTAGTAGAACAACAGAAAACAACAGGTACTAGATTTCTATTTTAAACATCTATTACCTTTGACTATAGTTGACTCTGGTATTTCTATTGAGTCCAGCTTAGTCCCTCACTTTTCACCTAGATGGGTGTCATCTCTAGACTCTTCCTTTCTAATCCATGCTTACACATTCACCAGATTAACTCTCCGGAAGCAGTTCTCAAATACCAGCATCACTTGGGAACTTAGTGAAGATGCATATTCTTAGCCCTCCTGTGAAATGACTGAATCAGTCATGGTGGGGGTGGGCTTTGTACTCAGCCAGGGAATCTGTAGTTGTGGGTAGAGTCTGTCCTAGAACACCTTTGTGATGACATGATAGTCAGGCTATAAACATTTCTAACTATACCAGTTAAGCATCTATATAAACATTACTTTTAATACTGGCATGACAATTCCTGCATTAAAATTCTTAACACCAGTCTGCTCACTTAGTAACTTAATATGTTCTTAATAGTACCATTTATATGATACATCTGCTCAGTCAAATATTTAATATTTGTTAATTTAAATTGATAAATTCTGGCATTCAAATTAAGGTGTTCTATATTTTCTGGTCCCATAGGTAATAATTTGAGGTTAACTTTAATTCTTCTCATTTTACTAGGCAAATATTTTTTTTTCCAAATCTTTTCTGTAATGGGCAGATAGTAAATATTTCAGGCTTTGCAGGTCATACATGATCTCAGTTGTATAGTCTCTGTTTATTTTCACTTACAGACTTTTAAAAATATAAAAACCATTCTTAACTTATGAGCAATATAAAAATGAACCATGGACTGGATTTGACCCGTGGGTCAAATATGAACATAAATATAAGCAGATGGTTTATAAACAGTTACATAACAAGGTTCATATGGCTGTCTCTAGTTGCTCAGATTTCAACACTGTTTTCCCTCTATAACTGAAGCTTTTTTCTATCAATATCTTGTTTATATAATTAAAAAACCGAAAATGCATAGGAATTATTTAATGCTAGAGATCGGCTAAGACCCTACACAGACTGACACAATTGTAGAATTTTATTACTGGGAGAAAGTATAAAGATTATCTAATTTGAATCCCTTAATTATTTTATAAATATAACTAAAAACTCATAAATAAAGATGATTAACTAACTTACAAATACTGGAGGGATAGCAGGCCTTCAAATGAATCCTTGTGTAATTCAGTCAAATGATTTTCACTGATAATTCTGAAAAATGAAAAGATTATTTCTGGATCCAAATAAAAATTCACTACACAGGATAAATTACTACATGTACCTTTCCTTATCATCTGTCAGCCATAAACAACATAGTTTAGTTTTGCTTCTTCTTGAACTTCATATAAATGAAATCATGTATGTGTTGTTTTCTATGCTGCTTTCATCAGCATTTTGCAAATTAATTATACTATTGCATTAGCTAAGGTTGGTTCATTTCACTGCCTACTATTGCATGTTTAGCTACATGTAGCTACTGAGTATCTTTAAAGTTACCAGTATGACTGGAAAGCTGAATTTCTTAATTTACTTTATTTAAAATAGTTAATTTAAAAATGGAAACTTGATGCAGTTACTGGAAATATTTAAGTGTATTTGCAACAATTTAGGTAGGTGATGCTACTTTTTCAACTGTAAATGTTATGAAATCTAAATACAGATCAATTATTTTTGACAAAAAATTAAGTAACCATATTGAAATTTCAATTAGTATGGAAAAAAATGTAAACTCATTAGCATTTTCCTTCATAATGTAATAATATATTATTAATGCATATAAAATTATATATTGAAATATTTTGGATATAAGGATTAAATAAAATATATTAACATTTTTTCCATCTGTTTATTACTTACTTTCATTTTTTAAGAGGCTACCAGAAAATTTAAGATTTTTATGTAGCTTGTATTATGTTTCTAGTGAGTAGTATCTGCTGTACTCATTCTATTGTTGATGGATTGCAAGATTCTTTCAGGTTTTTGTTACTACAACATGTTGCTAGGAACATTCTTGCACTTGTAGCCCGGTACATATTTGCCTTAGTTTCTCTAGGATGTAACAGGGGGATGAAACTCTTTTCCTAAGAAGCTGTGCTGTCAAGTTACAGACTGAAACATGCCAAGTCTCTCCCTTTCCCACCTCCACCAAAAATCCCTAAGAATGATAGAAAAAAATATAATAAAAACATCTTTAGCTCAAAGCATGGGAACATCTCCAACAATTGCTTTCTTACCAGAAATGATCTGGAGTTAACTACAGGATGACTGGCTAGGATAGTGTAGTAGGAACCCTAGTGGGCAGCACATCAACCCCATATGCTTCCTTCTTGGATGAGACAGCAAAAGATGTCTTCCCCCAGGTAGGACCAATTGGTGTTAGAAAGGAATAGGGTATGTGCTCCCTGATTAGCCACCAAAAGCACCTCCCACCTCTTCCTTATTTTCAGGGAAATCAACCAGGAATAGAAGCTCCAGGAGCTCATTTCATGCCTTTTCTTGAAACAGAAACAGAATTTCACCTACAAAGATGAATCACTTATGATTCATAGGAATGAATCAACTCAAGATTATTTGTAAACTCTTGAGAGATGGGATCTTGGTCATTTTGTTCTTGGGTCTATATCCCTAACACAGAGAACAGCTCTTGACACCTAGTAGGTATTCCGTAAATATGTGTTGAATGATCTCAGAAAGTTACAGATCATCAATTTTCAGATATACTGCTCTCATTTAAAACAAATCACTTATTATCACTCAGGAAGATAAGTAGAGATTTAGAGGACAAGAAATGTCTTTCTTCTCTCCTACATTTGTGATTCAATCTTTTGAGACAATAACCCTATAAGAATTTCATAAAAGCTATGGGCCCTTTCCTAGAAAACTGCGCTTTTTTGAATACATGCAAAGATGTGTGTCCAATTTCCATTTGTGGGTCATCCTTTTAGGTGAGCATCCATAGAATTCAGGGCACCAAACTTAGATGGGAAATAAAATTAAATCACTATTTTCACAACTTCAAACACACTTCCTTCCATCGTGAATGTAGATGGAAGGCCACAGTAGATTAGCAGTACAGTTCATCTGGTTTCCAATAGAAATCACATATTTTCATATGTTTGTTGTAGGTATCACAAACTCATTTATTCTCATCACAACTTTAAAGTTACAAGGTGGTTCATATTTTATATAGACCTACCACTGTATCTTGTTATTGTGTTAAGAGAAGATTTACTATTATATTTTTTACTTATCACAGTATTTAAAAATATATTTTGAAAACTATATTTCAATATATTTAGTTTCCTATACATTTTAAGTTATTATGCATTTAAATGCATTATCCCAAGAATATAAGCTTCTAGGGATCACCAAAAAGATCTATAGTATGGGAAAAATAAAAGTTAAACCCTGCCCTGGGGGACTATGGCACCCTAATTTAGAAACCTCTGTCATACAGGTATAAATAAATCTCAAACCTAGAAATCTTTTTTTTTAAAAAGATTTATTTATTTATTTATAAAGCACTGGGTACAGTCAGAAGCGTGGGAGGGGAGAGAGCCAGAGCGGGGAGCAGAACAGGCAGGGGGACTGAAGTACACTGCTGAGGGGAGCAGTGGGCGGCAGGAGAGGTCTGCACGCCATGTGGAACCCTCGCCTGGCGGCCAGGGATCAAAGGGCACTGCAGAGGCTGTGGGCAGCTTCACAGCCCAGCGCTCAACTGCTGCGCCACCAGGGGAGGCCCCAAACCTAGAAATCTTGAAACTTCACCAGGCTCGTGTTTTAGGTATAAACTCCCAAATATATGTTTTATAAACATTAACTTTAAAACTTCAATTTCTATTTTTTAATGAATTTTATATATTCATATGGCTCAAGATTCCAAATGTATGTAGCACACAATCTAAAGTTTTTCCTCTACCCTGTTCCTCAGCCTACCCACCCCTCACCACTCCTAATGACTTTCATTTTTCTTATGAATTTGGAAAATAAAATCTCTAAGTTAGATACCAGATGGGAAATATAAATGATACACAATTTTTAAGAAAGTCACAAGTTGAAAAAACAATGGCCCAATTCTCATTTTTTCCCTTGCCAATAAGTTAACAGACCAATGTAATTTTTTTCCCCCAAATTACTCATGTGTCTAAACTGACTTTTTCTACAATTAAAAGGACAATACAGAAAAATTCAAATTCAAAGGAGGTTACCATTTATGTTTTAAAAAAAGATAAGAAAATCACAGCAAGCCTATTTTTCTATCTATAGATACATATGCAAATGTAATGAGAAAGGTCTGGAAGGATATGTACTAAACCCAAGGATAGCAGGAATGGGGCAATGGGGTAGAAAGTTTTCACTATAAATGTTATTTCCTTGTCATTTTCATTGAGACTATAACCATGTATTACTCTTATAATGGAAAATAAGTTGGCTTATTCTGAAGAGAGGCCACAAAATTTAATTTTTAAAATAAACAGAATTATAATCAATAGAGGTTGATTTTAGATATGGAGGGATAAACATCTTTTCTCAGAGGTACTCAAAATTCTGGGCGAAGGATTTTACAATGCAGTTAGTTTTTTTGTATTCATAATTGGAGAGAATATACTCACAGTTTCTCAGCCCAACGGTATGAGTTCCATATATTTTCATCAATGTAAGAAATAGAGTTTCCTTGGAAATTTCTGTAGAAGAAACACAGTTCATATCCTTCAATAGGCAGGAAAAGAATGGACAGAATGAATCATCTTTCACAGAGTGAAAAAATCATGGCAACCTTGGGAGGAATGTTCAAATGCCGAAAACCTCAGCTTTCTAATTTCACAGCTATCAGTTTCTCAGTTTGCACAGTTAATGCAGACATGATGTGGGGCCGATGGCACAACAAGGCCTCTCTTCAGAAGCTGAACTTCCCTATCTGTCCAATTTCTTGCGTACACAAGATAATACCAGTAAATTTGAATGTAATCCCCCCAAATTACCTATGAGTTTAAAATAACTCTTGCTATAAAACAATGAGAAAATGATAAACAATTTGACAGAAAAATGGCAAAAATTTATCATTATGAGCAAATAAAGAAACCCTATGCCATGTAACGCCAATGCTTTGGCTCAGTGCCAGCTGTTGAAGTCTCTCCAGGTGTTAGGAGGATAAGGGCAATTAAAAATCAGAGGGACTAATGTGGAAATATCTTCACATTGCATAATGAAAAGGACAAATCACTGAGTAAGGAGCCAAGTATTGTCTTGATGGGAAAAAACGCAAAGGAAAGAGACTGCAAGGAAGGACACACATTCCGAAACGCTAAGAGGAATGATCTTATGGGGGTTAGTAGGGAGGGGTGGAATTTTCACATTTTACCTTGTATACTTCTGTGATATTTTGCAACACTGAGAAATGGCCCCTTAAATTACATGTTTAAAAGCAGTAGTCAAATGTCTGAAGTTGGCTTCAACAGCTAAGTGGGAGGATGACTTTCAATCTTCAGCTTTGTGTTCTCTTTCCTCAGCAACAGTTTACCTATTCAGTTTATGTACATATTTTTCAGAGGGTCCAAAAATAAAACAGAATGGATACCTGTCTGCCCATGTGCTCAGTAGACATTTCTACTCAACCAGAAGTCTTCTGGCTGCTTTACGCTCACCAACAGAAATGCCTAAAACTCAATTCATCTTTGAACAGGCTGTTTTTCCCAATTGCTGTATTTCCACTATTTACACCACCAACACTGTCATCATCCAGAATAGGAACCTTTGAGTCATGTGATTTTTCTTTCCTTTTCCCTGACTCTAGTCAGTTACTAACTCCTTTTGGCTCTCCCCGTGTAGTACTTTCGGGATTTCCTGTCCATTCCTATCACAACCACTCTGACTCAGCCTTTTCTCACTTTACTCCTAGATTTTGCCAGAGCATTCTACTGGTTTCCTTGATTCAAGCTTTCTTTTCTAGATCACGCTACTAATAAATTCTTAAAAAATTCCCCCTTTTTGTTTTAATTTATTGAGGTAATGTTGGTTTATATCACTGTTTGCATTTGAGAAATATAGGATCCGCCACTCCCTTGTTTTCATCTTTTGTCTTACTTGAAAACTTTCAATGGTTCTCCATGTCTCATAATGTAACTTTCAAACCCCTTTAGATGATACTCAAGATTTTTCATAATCATTTTTCATTACTTCATAACCCACTTCCTTACAACTTAATTGGTTTATTAAATCCTGATCATTCCTACAGCTTTGCTTTTGATTTAACAAATCACAGTTATTCTGTAAGTCCCAGCTAAAGTTTTAGTTCCTCTATGCAGCTTCCCTGATCTCCGCACTCCACTGATTACAGACTCTAGTGAATTAACGACACCCACGGTCTTTATCTCTTCTAGCACTTCCTTTATGGACGTGGTCCCTTCTTCTGACCTATCACTGTCATGTTTTGGAGACAATATCATACCTGTTGCTCCCACAGTACTTAGCCTTGGGTTGGGCATAAAATAGGTGCCACATATAGAAGTCAGGGAACAAAGATGAATTCTGAATATAATTGAGGGGGTCACATAATAATAATAGCTAATACATATATATTAGGTATATACATATTTTTTCTTATGTAAGGCATTGACATAAGTGATTTACAGGTATTAATGAGCTCATTCAAATCCCACAAAGATCCTATAAGCTGATAGTTATCATAATCTCCATTTTACAGATGAGTCATAAGCTAATAAATGACAGATCTGGGTTCAGACCCATGCAGTCTGGCTCCAGACTCTCTACTCTTAACCACTTGGCTGTATTGCCCCCAATAAAATGGGGAGAGGGGAATCTTGGTATAAAGAGGAAGGAGCAAAAATGGGAGGAAAGTAAAAGTTAAGGAATGAAATGATGGGGCTAAAAAATGGGTGAGGAAATACGAGTAAGAGCAATTACAAATAAAAGACTGCAGAAGGGAGAATAATAATGAGGAGAATAAAGAACAGTTAAAAACAGTCAGTCAGTGTGGGTTGGGGAAAGTAGGAAGGCCCAGAAAGAGCTTAAGGAAAGGTTGCCAAGTCAGCAGGAAGGAGGAAAACAAATGAGAGGGGATCCTTACAAGGTGGTGAAGGTGCCGTTGTAGGTGTGTAGCTCTGGCACAGGCACTCTGCGGAGTCTCTGCTTTGGGCTGAGACCAGCACATGAAAGTGTCTCATCTTTGCAGGTACAGAGTTCACATATGTTGATGTGTGTGGTGGCATTCCGTCCTGGTTGATTAGTAAAATTCATGTGTCCCTTTCCTTGATCATATAAATCCAGAGCTGTTGCAAGGGAAAGAACTGTCTCAGCTGATTCTTGTTGCTGAGTTACCATGTCCACAGGTAGAAATGTGCCTTGGTTTGATTGTTGACTCTGAGGAGTTATAATATTCTTTAGGACAGTAGAATGTTCAGCTTTGATAGTATGCTCTGGAGTTACAGTGAGCCCCAGGTTCAAATGATTATCTGTGGCATGGTGTGAAGTAGAATGCTGACCTTGATCTTTACTTGAAGTTGAAACAGTCACTTCCTGAGTGAATGGCTGCTCAACCACAACTTCTTTAGGTGGCTTTGGAGAGTGAGCTGAAGTCTCTTGCATGATTGGAGAAGATTCAACCTCTACATTGGATCCTGCAGTTGTGGTAATTTCCAGATTCGTTGGTTGAACTGTTGTATGCTGACTCTGAACCTGCTCTGGTTGTGGAAGTGTCACATCAGGTTGCTTTGGAGGAGCTGTAGTCTGTTGCAGGACTATAGAGGGTTCAGCCTCTGTAGTATGTTCTGGAGTTATGGGGAGTCCCAGGTCCAAAGGATGATCTGTGATATGGTATGAAGTAGAATGCTGACCTTGATCTTGACCTGAAGTTGGAACTGTCATCTCCTGAAGGAATGGCTGCTCAACTACTTCTTTAGAAGGCTCTGGAGGGTGAAATGTCACCTCCTGAAGGAATGGCTGCTCAACTACTTCTTTAAAAGGCTCTGGAGGGCGAAATGTCACCTCCTGAAGGAATGGCTGCTCAACTACTTCTTTAGAAGGCTCTGGAGGGTAAGCTGTTTCCTGCATAATTGGAGAAGGTTCAACCTCTGCATTGGATCCTGTAGTTGTGGTAATTTCCAAATTCGTAGGTTGAACTGTTGTATGCTGACTCTGGACCTGCTCTGGTTGTCGGAGTGTCACGTCAGGTTGCTTTGGAGGAGCTGTAGTCTGTTGCAGGACTATAGAGTGTTCAGCCTCTGTAGTATGTTCTGGAGTTATGGGGAGCCCCAGATCCAAAGGTTGAACTGTGACATTGGGTGACAATGGATGCTGAACTTGATCCTGATTTGGTGTTGGAACTGTTGCCTCCTGGTATACTGGAGACTGAGATACAATAACATCCTTAAGTGGCTCTGGAGGCTGACTGGGGATTTCCTGCACAGGTGGAGAAAGTTCAATTTCCTTACTGGGTTCTGGAGTTATGGTAAATTCCAGGTCTACAGGTTGAACAGTGACTTCACTCAAGATTGGATGCTGAGCCTGAATATGGTCTAGATGTGGAAGTGTCACCTCAGGGTTCTCTGGAGAAGTTGTCGTCTTCTGTGGGGTTGTAGAATATTCAGTCTTCGTAGGATGTTCTAGAGTTATGGTAAATGGCTTGTTCAAAGGAGAAAGTGTGACATTGTGCAACATTGAATTCTGAGCTTGATCCTGTTCTGGAGATGGAACTGCTTCACTATGGACTGGAGATTGTGAATCTGGAAATTGAGTTGTAGTCTCCTCCATGGCTGGAGAAATTTCAACCTCCTTATTGGGTTCTGAGGTTATGCTAAGTTCCAAGTCTGAAGGATGTACTGTGACTTCACTCAAGGTTAGATTCTGAGCCTGGACCTGCTCTGCATATGGAAGTGTCACTTTAGGGTATATGGGAGGTATATTCTGCTGGAGGATTGTAGAATGTTCTGCCTTCATAGTAGGTCCTAGGGTTATGCTAAGCTCTAGGTTAAAAGGTTTAACAGTGACATGGGGCAAGTTTGAATGCTGAGTTTGATCCAGTCCTGAAAGTGGAATTGCAACTTCATCATGGACTGGTTGAACTGGGGCCTGCTGAGCTAGAGGAGTTTCTACCTCATTAGCAGGCTCCGGAGGAGTTGGAAACTCCAGAGCTTCCATCTCTGTATTGGGCTCTGAAGACAGAGTAGAAGAATCTTGCAGATCTGGAGAGAATTCTACATTTTTAGGGGTCTCTGGAAGCTGAACTGAGGGCCCTTGGGGAGCTGGAGAGTCTTCTGCCTCATTATGTGGCTGAGATTGAGCTGGAGCTTCCTTCTGGACTAGAGATGGTTCGACATTCTCAGGGAGCTGAGATAGGCCCTGCAGTTGAGTTAGAGAAGATTCTACTTTCTTGGGAGGTTCTGGAAGCTGATATGGGGTTTCTTGCTGGGATAGAGACTTATCAGGAGGTTCAGAAGATACAGCTGGGTTCGCCTGGGGGACTGGAGGATGAGATGGGGCCTCCTGCTCGGTTGAAAGTTTGACCTCTGCAGTGGGCTTTGGAGGATGAACTGACCCTTCCTGCTCAGCTGTAGATAGTTCAATCTGTGTAGGGGGCTCTGATGGCTCATCTGGGGGCTCCTGTTGGACAGAAAATTCTCCTGTGTTTTGAGGGGAATCTAGAGTCTGAGCTATGGCCTCTTGTTGGCCTGGGGAAGACTCAATGTTTTCAGAGGACTCTGGAGATTGGGAAAGGGGTTGAGATTGTTCAGGGGGAGATGGAGGTTTAGCAGGATGATCCTGATGTGGTGGTGAATTGTTAGCTTCCTTAATGGGCTCTGAAGTTGCAGGAACCATCAGAACCATGGGTTTGACTATGAATTTAGGAAACGCTGGATGCTGAGCTTCACTTCTAGGTTGAGCTACAATATTCATAAGGGACTCTACAGGTGGGCCTTGGAGGTCTGGAGATCTGGCCCCCTCACTGGGCTCTGGATGTTGAGTTGGGCCCTCCTGCTGAACTGGAGAAAGTTCTACACCTACTTGAGGCAGAGCTGAGTCATCCTGTTGGCTTGAATAAGGTTCAACTGTTGCAGAGAGGCCTGGACGCTGACGTGGCACTTCTTGTTGGACTGACAAAGGTTCCAACTGTTCAGAGGACATTTCAAGCTTATCTGGGGCCTCTTGTTGGGGTGGAGTTTCAACCTCATAAGGGAGGTCTGGAGTTATGGTAAGTACCAAAGACACAGGCTTGACAGTGACACTGGGCAATGTTGGAAGCTGAGCTTGATCCTGACTTGTAGAAACTGCCTTCACATGCTTTGGGGCATGAACTACAATTTCATTAGCGAGTTCTGATGTCTGAACTGGGGTCTCCTGTTGAGTTGGAGAAGGTTCAACCTTCTCAGGGGTCTGTGGAAGCTGGGCTGGGGCCTCTTGTTGGGATGAAGTTTCCATATAATTAAGTGGCACTGAAGGCTGAGCCTCATGCTGAATTGGAGAAGGTCCTACCTCTGTAGTGGGTTCCACTGTTATAGTAACCCGAACTTTTGGAGGTTTGACAGTGGCATTGGTTAAGTTTGAATGCTGACCATGATGGTAACCTGGTGAAGCTACCTCATGATCCTGCTGGATTGGAGAAGATTCAACTTCCCCAGAAGGCTCATAAGTTTGATCTTGGTGCTCCTGCTCACTTAAAGGCTTAACCTCCCCAGGAGATTCTGGTGGCTTAGCTGAGGCATTCTGCTGGGACAGAGAAGGTTCTGTCTCCTCAAGGTGCTCAGGAGGCTGAGGTGGGGCCTCCTGCTGGGCTGCATTTTTACTAGGTTCTGACAATACGGTAAGTGTAATAGTGGGCAAGTTTGAATGAGTTTGATGCCGAGTTATATTTTGAGTTACCTCCTTATTTCTTGCTGGCATTTGAGTTAATTCGTTGGTATACTGTGGAAACTCAGTTGGAACCTCTTGCTGGACTGGAGGTTCCACCTTTTCAGAGGGTTGTGCAGGTTGAGCTGGGGCCTCTTCATGGGCTGGAAAAGTTTCAACCTCCCTAGTGACTTCTGGAGTTATGGTAACAGTCACAACCATGGGCTTAACGGTGACATTGGGCAAGTTTGAGGGATGAGCTTCTTTTTCACTTGGAGATGGAACATTTCCCTCATCAGGTGCTGATGGTTGAACTCCAACCTCTGTAGATGCTTCCGGAGGCTGAGCCGGGGCCTCCTGAGGGTTTGGAGCAGGTTCCGCTTCCTCAGGAGCCTCTACGGGCTGAGCTAGAGCTTCCTGCTGAACTGGGGGAGGTTCGACCACCCCAGGGCTTCTTGGAGGCTGGGCCTGTGTTTCCTGCTGGGTTGGTGCAACCTCACTAGTGACCTCTGGAGTTATGGCAACAGTTACAACCATGGGCTTAATGGTGACATTGGGCAAGTTTGAGGATTGAGCTTCTTTTTCACTTGGAGATGAAACTTTTGCCTCATCAGATGCTGATGGTTGAACTCCAACCTCTGTAGATGCTCCCAGAGGCTGAGCTGGGGCCTCCTGAGGGTTTGGAGCAGGTCCCACCTCCTCAGAAGCCTCTACAGGCTGAGCTGAAGCTTCCTGCTGGACTGGGGGAGGTTCGACCACCCCAGGGCTTTCTGGAGGCTGAGCCTGTGCCTCCTGCTGGGTTGGTGCAACCTCACTAGTGACCCCTGGAGTTATGTAAACAGTCACAACCACAGGCTTAACAGTGACATTGGGCAAGTTTGAGGACTGAGCTTCATTCTGAGTTGGAGATGGAACATTTCCCTCATCAGGTGCTGATGGCTGCACTCCAACCTCTGTAGATGCTTCTGGAGGCTGAGCCAGGGCCTCCTGAGAGTTCTGAGCAGGTTCCACTTCCTTAGGAGCCTCCACAAGCTGAGCTGGAGCTTCCTGCTGGATTGGGGAAAGTTTGACCTCCTCAGGGCTTTCTGGAGGCTGAGCCTGTGCCTCCTGCTGGGCTGGTGCAACCTCACTAGTGACCTCTGGAGCTACAGTAACAGTCACAACCAGGGGCTTACTGGTGACATTGGGCCAGTTTGAGGGCTGAGCTTCATTTTCACTTGGAGATGGAACATTTCCCTCATCAGGTGATGGTTGAACTCCAACCTCAGTAGATGCTTCCAGAGGCTGAGCCAGGGCTTCCTGAGGGTTTGGAGCAGGTTCCACTTCCTCAGGAACCTCTACAGGCTGAGCTGGAACTTCCTGCTGGACTGGGGGAGGTTCGACCTCCTCAGGGCTTGCTGGAGGCTGAGCCTGTGCCTCCTGCTGGGTTGGTGCAACCTCACTAGTGACCCCTGGAGTTATATAAACAGTCACAACCACAGGCTTAACAGTGTCATTGGGCAAATGTGAGGGTTGAGCTTCATTCTGAGTTGGAGATGGACCATTTTCCTCTTGATGTGCTGATGGCTGAGCTCCAACCTCTGTAGATGATTCTGGAGACTGGGCAGGGGTCTCCTGAGGATTTGGAGCAGGTCCCACTTCCCCAGGAGCCTCTGTAGGCTGAGCTGGAGCTTCCTGCTGGATTGGGGAAGGTTCAACCTCCTCAGGACTTTCTGGAGGCTGAGCCTGTGCCTCCTGCTGGGCTGGTGCATCCTCATTAGTGACCTCTGGAGCTACAGTAACAGTCACAACCATAGGCTTAATGGTGACATTGGGCAAGTTTGGGGGCTGAGCTTCATTTTCACTTGGAGATGAAACATCTTCCTCATTGGGTGCTAATGGTTGATCTCCTACCTCTGTAGATGATTCCAGAGGCTGAGCCAGGTCCTCCTGAGGGTTTGGAGGAGGCTCCACCTCCTCGGGAGCCTCTACAGGCTTAGATGGAGTTTCCTGCTGCTCTGGGGCTTCCTCCTGGTCTGGGGAAGTTTCAACTCCCTCAGGGCTTTCTGGAAGCTGAGCCTGTGCTTCCTGCTCAGTTGGTACAACCTCATCAGTGACTTCTGGAGTTATGGTAACAGCCACAGGTTTAACAGTGACACCGGGTAAGTGTAAGGGTTGAGCTTCATTCTGACTTGGAGATGGAACATTTTCTTCATCAGGTGATAATGGTTGAGCTTCAACCTCTGTAGATGGCCCCGGAGGCTGAATAGTGGCTTCCTGAGTGGTTGGAGAAGATTCTACTTCCTCAGGGTCCTCAGTAGGTTGAGCTAGAGCATCCTGCTGGTCTGATAAAAGTTCATCCTCTTCAGGGGAATCTGAAGGCTCATCTGGGGCACCCTCTTCAACTGAAGATAGTTCCAATTCCTCAGAAGACTCTGGAGGTGCAGCTGGGGCATGCTGTGTGGTTGCAGAATTTGAAAATAGCTTAACAACCTTGGGAGATGATGACTCCTGCTGAAGTGATTCTACCTCATCAGAGGACTCTGGATGTTGAGCCTGGGGTGAAAAAGATTCATCCTCCTCAGGAGTCTGTGATTGCTCAACAGGGGCCTCTTGCTGGGATGAAAGTTCAACATCCTGAGGCTCTGGACGTGGTTCTGGGTCTCCCCTTTCATCTACAGGTTGGTTATCCTCAGGATACATGATGTCCATACCTAGAATCTAGATAATCGTCCTGCAACCTTTGAGGCACATGATGAGGTGTTTTTGGAAGCTGGCCTGGAGTTCTAACAACTTTGTTAAATCTTGGATGCTCAGCTACATCTCTCTTCAGAATTGTAGGTGAGAAAATATATCTTGTTGGTTTTGAACTCTGACTATCTAGAGATGGAACAGGTATTTCATATGAATGGTGATCTTTTGGCTGATCTAGAGCTACAGTCAGAATCTTACTTTTGAGTCGAGGCGACAGAGTGAGGGCCAGATTCTGATCCCAACTTGACACTGGAATCACTTCTGGGGCCCTTTGATTATTCACCTCCTGATGTGAAACAGCAAACTGCTTTGGTCCTGGCGACGGCTCTCCGACTGAATCTGTGACCAGGAATGGAACTAAAGTCCCAGTCAATTCCTGAGGAGGGGCCAACATCTGGGCTGGAGCGGTGGATTCCGGGTAATTAAAGCCCCCTGGCTCTGCCGGGGGTGTAAGCGCTTGTGGAGATTCAGGTGGGAGATCAGAGGAGTGCGAAGACCAGGGCTTGATAGGCCCTGGGGGGTCGGAGGTCAGCTGGACTGGGTCCAGGGCCAACTCCGGAGCTGCCTGCAACAGCAGCCACAACGGTTGCCACGTGAGGAGGAGCCGTGGAGCCCAGAGGCGCAGCCGGGACATGACATGCGGAGGCTACGGGGCGCAGCGACCCAGGCCAGTGGGGCGCCGGCGCCCTGAGCGGGAGCCCAACCGTTAAGGCAGCCCCGTGATGCCAGCGCACTTAGCAAGCGCGCGCCCCTCCCCCCCCCCACGCCCCACCCTTTGTTTATGACACCTTTATTTACGCCGCCTTTATTAGGCTCGGGCCAAGATAAGTTCTGCACCATCAGAGCGAGCCCTTTCTCCAGAATCACCAAAGCACAAGCCTTCCTTCCCCCTGCAAAGACGACACCTACTTACAGCACGGCTCCCTCTCCCCTTCATAGAGAGGCAGGACTTGGACTGCATACGTGGGGGGCCCGGCACTAACAACAGCCCACCGGCTGGTGGATGGGGAGATTAAAGGACATGCAAGTGTGAGATGGGGGCACAGAGCTCCCCGAGGGAGCCATACAGTCTGGTATCCTGGGAAATTCAAAAGTGTTGGTCCAGTTTGGGCACTCTGAACTCTTCCCCTTCGAAGCTGAAATCTGAAAGACATTCTTCCTCTCCTGGGCCATGTCCCTTCCAAGAGAAGTAGTTGACCTGAAAAATGAGCATGAGTTAGGGTGGGGTGGGCAGGGTGGGGCGGGGGAGATATTTTCCAGTTACTCTGAAATGTTTCCATTTCTTCTAAACACTCAGTATCAATATCTGATCATTTATTCACTATTAGATAAGGATTACCACTGAGACAGTGAGGACTCCACAATTTCTGTAGGAGGGTTTTTTGGGAAGTGAGCAATTCACTCTGGAAGAGAGCATATGAGATCTAGTGACTAGCCCTTTTACACTGGCATGGGGAAACTTGCCCCATCTCATCCTGGCTCAACACAGCAATTTAGAAGAAGTAAAAATGCCACTTTTCAGAAGTCTGCCCTGCATGGACACATGAGGACACTCAGGATATTAAAGTCAGCATATTAAATCATTTTCTTGAAATACTGTAATTAGCATCCAGTTTACTTCCTTCACAGCCCTTTTATAATTATTTTAGTCTTGCTTATTGGCTGACATACCAATGAATGCAAACTCCAAGAGTAAAGGGGCTTCACCTATTCCCAGCGTGTGGCACATAGTAATGGCTTTTCTTTTCTTTTTAAAGATTTATTCATTTATGCATACAAGAACTGGGGTACCGGCCAGAGATGTGGGGGGTGAGAGAATTCACCAGAGACAGAGTGGGGAACAGAACAGGCAGATTAACTGAAATACACTACTGAGGGGAGCAGCGGGCATGGCAGGAAGGGTCTGCTGTGCCATGTGGGTAGCTCCCTGGCCGGGGAGCAAACTCCTGCTGCAGTGGCTGTGGATAGCTTCATAGGTTGCAGCTTAACCCCTTGTGCCACCAGGGAGGCCCAGTAATGGCTTTTAAATGGAATTGATTCAAAGACTGGCCTCGTTTTCAGATGATCATTGTTATAATCAGGTTTTTGAAATCTTTAGCATTAGTACTGTATCCCTTCCTCTGACATTTCATAGTAAGTTAGCATTCTTAGAACCTAAGTTTGGATAAGTTTGAAGTTTCCTTGAGTGCTTTGATTTAAGTTGAATTAAAACATTATTTTGCACATACACACAAAATCCTTTTTCAGAATGTAACCACCTTCTCTTCCTTTACTTTCTTCCTTTCAAAGCAAACTTTGCAACATTGGGGTGAGCTAAATAATAAAAAGTGTAGCCTCAATCTCTCAATAACATGAAATACATTTTTTTGCTCCCCCCCTTTAAATATCCCATATGTAGCAAACTAATATTTTCTTTTAGACATTACTTTGACAATTTAATCCCTAATTCAGGACATTCATTTATTTCCTTCAGCAAAAGTTTTCATACAAGATATATATATATATATATATATACACACACACACACACACATATATATATGTATATATATGATGTCAGGATGTGTATATTATACCTTATTTAAAAGTACAATCATTTTTGAATGCTATAGCACAATCACACTTAAGGCCATAGTTCCTTTCTTCCCAGATTTCTGGGATCTTGTTTGAGAAGAGTTCATAAGGGTGTGCTTCTACAGTCTCCTACAACTATAGGAGTACTCTGAGGGTTCTTAGTTCTCTCCAAATAAGGGGTCGGTCAGAGCCAAGGGCCAGAACTTCAGGAAAAGTCTTAGAAATTATCTGCACTCAAAAGCAGTTTCAGAGTTTCACATTTTCATGTAGATAATAGCACTAACTACATGCCAAAGATCTCCAAATCCTACTGATTGCTTTGAATTATGGCTATACTGACTATGAAATCCCCAAGCTTTTGTCTCCACGTACTTCAATTAAATCCTGTAGTAGTTCTTCTTCAACTCTGGCATCTCTGATGGCTTCACAGGGTCTGTACTCAACAGCTATTTTACCACTTTCTGAAATAAAGTTTACAAGGACCAGTTCAGAATCTTTCTTTTTTTAAAATTTCCTGTATACAATAGTAATTATACAACAATACTGGGTTTTAGTTTCTGTATACACCTAATAATTACACATTCCTTTGATTTAGGATAGGAATTTTCCTAGAAGTTTCCTCATCTCCTACTTCAGTTTTTATTTTAAATATTTGTGGAAAAATATATATACGGTACCAGCTGTATTTATTTTTTTTTTTTTAAGATTTATTTATTTATTTATACAAGCACTGGGTGCAATCAGAAGCGCAGGAGGGTGAGAGAATTCACCAGAGCCAGAGCGGGGAACAGAACAGGCAGACTGACGAAACACACTGCTGAGGGGAGCAGCGGGCAGCAGGAGATGTCTGCGCACCATGTGGGACCCTCGCCCCGTGGCCGGGGATCAAACTGGCGCTGCAGAGGCTGTGGGCAGCTTCGCAGCCCAGCGCTCAACTGCTGTGCCACCGAGAAGGCCCTGTATTTCGTTTAAAAAAAAACTTTGATATTACAGATAGGAACTAAGAAATAATAACAAAAAGTTAAAACTGTAGAAATAAAAATGTTTAATCAATAATATGATTAAATATATATTTTTAAAGATTCATCTATCCATACAAGAACTGGGGTACAGGTCAGAGATGTTGGGGGGGTGTATGTGAGAGGGTTCACCAGAGCCAGAGTGGGGAACAGAACAGGCAGACTGACTGAAATACACTGCTGAGGGGAGCAGTGGGTGAGACAGGAAAGGTCTGCTGCGCTATGTGGGCTGCTTCCTGGCCAGCCCAGGATTGAACTCCTGTTGCGAGGCTGTGGACTGCTTCACAGCGTGGTGCCCAACCCCTTGTGCCACCAGGGAGGCCCTATAATATGATTAAATATTGTAGTAAGATATTACGTTGGGGCTAATGTATGCTCAAACATGGGCCAGAGGCCACTGGAATATATGATATACTTCATATTAGAAGCAAGTCAAGTGTCTATTCACTGAGAGCCAAAGTTCCACCAATTGTTCATTCCACTGAACAAAGCTTTATGGGGGGTGGGAAGGGATGTGATGGAGTAGGGGTGGGGACGCATGAGCAAAAGCACAAAAAATGTGATCATTTTATTGGCAGAAACTGGTCCATGTACCTTATAGACAATAGAGTCCAGTTGTCCATTCTGGAAGGCTGAGACCAATCCAGGGTCACCTCTTATAAGCAAATAAGGTCTTTGACAACTTAACTAGAATTTCTGTCTTTAAGAGTGCAGGGATGTGAGCAAGGGAGAAATTCTCTTCAGATATTCTCTACTTGTCAACATTTCCTTTGGGTACAGCCCTTGCAGAATTCCACAACCAGCACTATTCAGCAGCATGCCTACTTTCAAGGCTCACAAACACATAGCTGACTCTTACATAAAAATCATATTCACCCAATATGTCAGTGTCAGAAATAAAAACGAATGGAATTGATTCTAAAAACATGATCTAATAAACGCTCACTTCAGCAAAGAACAATAGCAGAAATAGCTAGCATATTTTGTCTGCTTGTAACAGGGTAATCCATAGGGAAAGCGCGGTTCCAGGTGCCCTGCCTCACGCGACAGAAGGGTGGAGCTGAGCAGGAGGTGAAGGTAGAGGAGACCGAGAGAACAACTGGGAGAGGGAGGAGATCTGGCTGAGGAGACGTGGAGAGAGACGAAGCAGAGAGACATGTGAAGAAACTGTGCTTGCTACTCGGCTGTGCGCCTGTACCAGGAACTTGGGGGACATGGAAGGAGATACTTCAAGGAGACAGAGATGAGGGTGAGAGATAAGGGCTGCTGATAATGGCAGCCTTTATCTTGACTTGGGTTTTGATTTTGCTGTTTTCCATCCAGACTTGCCTGACCCCTTCTGCCCCTTTCCTATAGGTCCCCACCAAAAGGTACCTTTTGCATAGCAAGTTTTTGGGTCTCAGCAGTCCTGCTTTGGGCTAACCCTGTTTGGCTGGGTGTTTACTCATAAAGGGATGAGTAATTTGGGTGTTTAATTGAAAACTATTTTAACTATGTTCTTTCTCTTCTATTTATTGCACACTGATTGTATTAAAGTTATTTTCTATTGAAGGTCTTATGCACTGGAGTATGTTTTGTCTTGATGTGGTGGATGGCAGAACCTATTCGGAGAAGGTAGGTTTGGGGGTCCTGGGGTGCTCCTCATCCTGTCCCATAACATGCTTACTAGGGCCCAAGCATAGTTCTAAGCTTTTTACATTCATTATCTCATTTACACTTACAGTATCCCCCATGAAGTAAGCTGAAATTATTAACTTTATTTTGTAGGTAAAGAAACTGAAGCTTATAGTTATTAAATACCTTCAAATCTCCCTGGGTATAAAGCCTAACATTGCATAAAAAAATCTAAGAGACAGGACTCAAACACAGGTATTCAAAGCTTATAATAACTATACTATTTTGTATAGGCAGGCAAGCAACTGAGAAAGAACTGCATCAAACACTTTCTGGATGAATAGAGGCAAGTCATTCTACAGTTACACATGGGGGACAACAATATTTACTGTCATTTTTCTCATAATGTCACAAAGAGCAAATTTGAGATCGCTGTTGTGAAAACGTGTTGTGAATGAAGGAAAACAGAATGCTTGAGATAGTCATTATTTTCATACAATTAACTTTTCAAAAATGAGTTTTTTTGCTTATTGAGACTGAGATATTTCAAAGACAATCAAGAAAGTCTTACCTAAAACCACAATCAACAGTTTTTGAAATGCATCTGACACAGCTTTCTGAACAGCAAGCTTCTGGATTGTCTTTCTTTTCATAAGTAATGATAATGGCCCTACATTCAACCAAAACAAACAGATTTAAAATGCCTCTCTGAATAATTGACTTTCATCTTATATGTTAAAAATAATGCATCCATGTTTGTAAAATCATTGTCTAAGTAATCCAAGGATATAACTGAGTGGCTCTTCTGCAGGTATGTCCTGGCAGGGTACATTTTTACTGCCTGATTTATTCTGGAAGTTCCTAAAGTACTAAAATGGAGACACAAACCAATAACATGGCATAAATCTCACAGTACTCACAGATTTCAAATGGATAAATTGAAGTTACACTCTAGACCCTGCTCTCCTGTGCTTCAAAGACTGGAATCACACAATGAGAAAAGTTTAAAGGTGGTGCGGAAGATCTGGCTTTTCCCCAAGCATCACCAACCAGAACCTGCTCCACTCCTTTCACTAATAGTTCTGCTTTCGGGAAGGCAGCTACACTTATGGCTATGCCACCAATACTAGCTCTGCCCCTCAACACTCTATGCCTGAGTAGCATGGATTCTAGGAAAAAACTCAGTATCAATAGGAAGACCCTTTCTAGGTATCTATATTTGACTTGTCCACTCAAGGCATTCTATAGGAAGTAAAGGACTGAGCATTTACACAAGTTTATTTAATCTTTAGATGGTGGTTTTACCGAACATTATAATCAATCTAAATTTGAAGGGCTATTTTAGCACAAAACATAGTCTTAATCAAAAACAGGAAAAATATTATTTACATCTGCCTATGTTTCTTGGCAGGAAGTTGGCTTTAAAATTTTTAAGTTAAAGGATTTTAAAAAACTACATGGTAAGGCAGAAAAAACACTGCCCAGGTTTTTAGTAGCTTAGCAAGGGGAGGGTCTGATGATACATCTGAAAAGATGAGTTTTGGAAAAAAGGCAAATTCTTAACTTTCCCCCATGTCTCCTCCATGCCCCCAACTCCACCCACTGAAAACATACCTTCCTCCACGGTGTCCAAAGACTCCTCAGCTATACCAACTCCAGGACTCCTGCACTCATAGGATGGTAACACCACCTCTAAAGCACAGAAGAATTTCAGGCATTGCTTTTGAGGTGGTGCCACAATATCTTCATTTTCCCTTTCTTCAAGGTCAGAAAGATCCTGAAGCTGTTAAGATTTTGAATATAAGGTTCTTCTGACGATTTCAGTGTAGACTTCAAAATGTTTTGTTATTAGAAATAAAAACCAGGGGCCTCCCTGGTGGTGCAAGGGGTTAAGCACCACACCATAAAGCAAGCTGCAGCCTCTGCAGCATAAGTTCGATCCCCGGCCAGCCAGGGAGCTACCCACATGGCGCGGCAGACCTCTCCTGTCTCGCCCGCTGCTCCCCTCAGCAGTGTGTTTCAGTCAGTCTGCCTGTTCTGTTCCCCACTCTGTCTGTGGTGAATCCTCTCACCCCCTGCATCTCTGGCCTATACCCCAGTATGCATAAATAAATAAATCTTAAAAAAGAAAGAAAGAAAAAACAAACTCCAGAAATCTCATCTAACAGGTGACATGTCAAGTAAGACTTGCAAATGAATTACTACTAGATATAGATAACTACATATATATACTATGAATATTTGAGAAAATTACTGTCACCATTACCCAAGGAAGTAGTCCAATACTCAAATACTTTTTTTTGTAAAGATTTATTTAGTTATAGAAGTATATATAGGGTGTAGGCCAGAGATGTGGGGGTGGGGGATGGTAAGAGTACTCACCAGAGACAGAGTGGGGAATAGAATAGGCGGATCTACTGAAATACTCTGCTAAGGGGAGCAGCAGGCGAGAAAGGAATGCTCTGCTGTGCCATGTGGGTCAGCTCCCTTGCTGGGGATGGAACTCAGGTTGTCACGGTGATAGGGAGCTGAGACTTAACCCCAGGTCACCAGGGAGGCCCAATGCTCAGACACTTTTCTGCTTAGAGACCGCTCACATTTCCTCCCCACAACTCACATCTAGTCTTCTTTCTAAAGTATGACATTTCAATAGTTTACCTTGATGATCCTTTTTGACCATCCATTGAAACCAAAGTAGTAATTTGCCAATGCTTGGCATTGGGAGCTGTTTAAGGCAAGAGTCTGATGTTGAACTGCCTTATGTCTGGTGCTGAGATGAACCTAAAGAGATAGAGACAGACCTAGAGATATCATAGCCTGTCACAGAGACATTTTGGACATACCTCAAGATTTATCAATACAAGTTTCACAGGGTGTTTACAAAGATAAAATAGGATAAACATTTTCAGCATAGTAAGCCCTAACTAAATGTTATTTTTCAAGTCACAGAACTTTTTGGCATGATTTCCAGGGTACCTGGTTAATTGGAAAGTTTCCCTGACCTCTGATGATAAAAGTGATGATGAAATCAACTAAGGAGGGCCTCTCCGGTGGCACAGCGGTTGAGCGCTGGGTTGTGAATGTGCCCGCAGCCTCTGCAGCACCGGTTTGATCCCCGGCTGCTCCCCGGCCACCGGAGGAGGGTCCCACATGGCTCGCAGACCTCTCCTGCCGCCCGCTGCTCCCCTCAGCAGTGTACTTCGGTCCTTCTGCCTGCTCTGCTCCCCACTCTGGCTCTGGTGAATTCTCTCACCCTCCGGCGCTTCTGACTGTACCCAGTGCTTGCATAAATAATAAATAATTTTTTTTTAAAGATAAATAAATAAAAAGAAATCAACTAAGGAAACCCTGGAGAAACAAATTATAGAGTTGGGCCTCCCCAGTGGCGCAGCGGTTGAGCGCTGGGTTGCGAAGCTGCCCGCGGCCTCTGCGGCGCCGGTTCGATCCCTGGCTGCTCCCCGGCCACCGGAGGAGGGTCCCACATGGTGCGCAGACCTCTCCTGCAGCCCGCTGCTCCCCTCAGCGGTGTACTTCGGTCCTTCAGCCTGCTCTGCTCCCTGCTCTGGCTCTGGTGAATTCTCTCACCCTCCTGCGCTTCTGACTGTACCCAGTGCATGTATAAACAAAAACAAAACAAACAAACAAATAAAAATAAAACATGCCTCTATAAAAAAAAAAAAAATTAAAAAAAAAATAAAATAAAAAAATAGAGTTGTGGGTAATAAAAGCATGTAAATTATTTAAATTGTTTCATTCAGTAGGTCCTGTTTGGGGCTATGGCCTGAAGAGCAGATAAGAAGGATAAGTATCCTGCAACTAAGGTAGGACCTTAATCTGCGCATCCTCTCCCCAAGTTACTAATATACATGTCTAAATCTTATAAGCAGCTAATATAGTTTCATCTGCATTAACAAGGCTCTTTGAGAATGCAAATATTTCCAATGCTACCTATCTAGGTAACTTATACATTACCATGGATTTCTTACATCATGCATTCTTTAAATGTCTATTTCGGGACCTCCCTGGTGGTGCAAGGGGTTAAGATGCAACCTATGAAGCTATCTGCAGCCACTGCAGCACTAGTTCAATCCCCGGCCAAGGAGCTACACATGTGGCACAGCAGACCTCTCCTGACTCACCTGCTGCTCCCCTCAGCAGTGTATTTCAGTCAATGTGCCTGTTCTGTTCCCTACTTTGTCTCTGGTGAATCCTCTCACCCCCCACACCTCTGGCCTGTACCCTAGTTTTTGTATGCATAAATAAATAAATCTTTTTAAAAAGTCTATTTCAATTTTAAACTGTGTAGTATATGAATATACTCCTAAAACTTAAATAAGAGCCAAAGCAACATTAATTCTTTATTAATTTGTTTGTGTAGTTTTCTCTAATACTAGTTTATAAGCTTTTTAAGTGCTTAAAGGAACCATCTCTTATTCTTTTCTCATTTCCAGAACCAAGAACAGATCTTGGCATATAATAGGGGCATGGGCTATTGAGTGAATGAATGAATGAGTAAATAAGAAAATGCACTTACTTTCCCCAACTGATGCTGCCTGTTGGGAAAGAGAAATGAAAGGGAAATGTCGAGTGTTGCAGAGGTGGCTAGCCTGTGTGGTGAGTCACAGAGGAGCAGCTCTGGACAAGTAGGAGGTTTCAGAGGGGCTGAGATCCTGGATCGCGACTGCCGGCAAGAATTCCACATGGGGCAGCAGACCTCTACTGTCTCGCCCACTGCTCCCCTCAGCAGTGTATTTCGTCAGTCTGCCTGTTCTGCTCCCCACTCTGTCTCTGGTGAATCCTCTCACCCTCCCGCACATCTGGCCTGTACCCCGGTTCTTGTATAAATAAATAAATCTTTAAAAAAAAAGTCTGTCAAACTCGGGCATTTTAAACCCACCTAAAAATAAGTATAAGCAAAACTTCTGTGCAGATTTCTTGGATGAAGGAGCAGCATAACATAACATGAACATCACTAAGTTTGGATTTGAATTCTAGCTTCTACAGTTTCTTTCATGAATCTTTTTCTGCATAGAATGACTGGGATGTAGGGGGTAAGAGGATGCACCAGAGACAGAGTGGGGAGCAGAACAGGCAGACTGACCAAAGTACACTGCTGAGGGGAGCAGCTAGCTGGGAGTCAGGAGAGGTCTGCTGCGCCATGTGGGTTGGCTCCCTGGCCAGAGATTGAATTCAGGCCAGAGGTGATAGTGCTGAGACCTGACCCCTAGGCCACCAGGGAGTCCCCTTTTTCGTGAATCTTAAGTAAGTCACTTAATCATGCCGAGTTCTTCAACCAATAAGCCAAGAGAACAGGAGGTGGGCACAGCATTGCCTCTGAAAGCAGTCTGTAAGCCGGAGAGCGTACACAGCTAGCCTGCTATTAGGGGTCCAGCACCTCACTCCCGCGGATCTAGGAATTCCACATTTGGACCCACCTTCACTGGAGATGTCTGAAAAAGCGGCATCTGGTCGCATGCTTTTTGGGCTCTGCGGGCGTCCCTCGCTGAATAAAACTTGACGATGGCATAGAAACCAGATTGGGCCACCGCGGCGTTGGGGAAGACTCGGACTGAATACAGAAGGCCGAACTGGGAGAAGACTGTGAACAGAGAACGCTGTGGGGTGGACCCCACCAATTAAGTGCCTGACATTTCCCGCCCAGGACACGAAACCGCCCCTTCCAAGTCCTTCTCCACAGGCGGCTGAGGGGAGGCTCAACGCGAAACGCTTCCCATGCCGTGAGGTTTTCGTGGGCGGTCACGACTCGAGAAGCTTTAGAAGGCCAAGTGTGCTGAGAGCTCACAGTTACCTCTCCGGGGGCTACTGACCCCCCAGGCCCGGGCCAGGCCTCAGACCCCTCTCGGCGGGGACACAGCTCCGGGCGGGGCGCTAGGGCGGGACTCCCCGACTCCCAGTCCCCGGGGTCGGGGCGGCTTTCTCCATCCCTCCCTCCACCTTGGCCCAGCTCACATGCAAAGCCTCGGCCGTGGGTCCGGGGCTCAGCTCCCACACCAGCAAGGTTTTGTCACACCCTGTGGGGACCGCAAAAGGCACCAGCTCCGCCATTCTACCGTCCCTGCGCGCGGTGACGGCTCCAGCGCCACTGCGCCTGCGCAAGGCCGCCCGCGCTTTTTTAAAAGGGACGCGGGCGTGGGGCGGGGCCATCTTGTCGGGGCGGGGCCATCTCGTCGGGGGCGGGGCTATCTTGTCGGGGCGGGGCCATCTCGTCGGGGGCGGGGCGAGGGCAGTGCTTGGCCCGCCGCGTTCGCCCCTCCCACTCCTCTGGGGTGTCAGAGCAGGTTTTCGGTCTCGGGCACCACCTGCTCCAAATCGCACTTTCCTGCGCGCCTTTAGGGTAGAGTCCAAACAGTGGTCCGCTGAAGGGCCGGACCGGATTACAGCAGCGGGTTCCAACCTCCTCGTAGTTAGAGCACTAGGTGGCTAGCACTACCTTCTGAACTTTAATTAACTTGGCCTCCCTGGCGGCGCAAGGGGTTAAGACTCAACCTATGAAGCTACCCGCAGCCTCTGCAGCATGAGCTCGGATCCCCTGGCCAGGGAGCTACCCACATGGCACAGCAGACCATGCTGCTCCCCTCAGCAGTACATTTCGGTTAATCCACCTGTTCTGTTCCCCACTCTGTTTCTGGTGAATTCTCTCACTCCCCACACTTCTGGCCTGTACCTCAGTTCTTGTATGCATAAATAAATAAATCTTTAAAAAAGTAAATAAATAATTAACTTGCCGGCTGTGTGTGGGAAATGGCCGTGAAAGATGCAGTCATTTGACTTAGTATTTGCAAGGTTTTAAAAACGCAAATCAAGCTATAACTCAAGTCAGTAACACTCTAATCTGAGATCCATAAAAAGAACTCCTTTATTTTCCTACCTAGTGTAGTGAATTGTGTACGTGTACTTGTGGGGGTGGGTTGATGTGGGATGATGAGGGAGACTGAGAAGGAAAAATAAATTTGAAGTAATCAGAGTTGGTGCAAGTGGGCAACAACATTAGAACTCATGGTGCCTGAGAGTGGAGGTTCTAGGCGCCTGATAGCTGTTTGGCAGAGTAACTTACGGAGAAGGAAAATTAGAGATCCCTTAAAAATATATATTTATGCATACAAAGCACTGGGCTGTAGCCCAGAGGTGTGGGAGTGACAGGAGAGGTCTGCTGCCATGGGGGTCAGTTCCCTGGCCGGAGATCAGCTAATGTTGCAGTGGGTGGCCATAGCTTGATAACTCTGAGACTTTAGCCCCTGTGCCACCAGGGAGGTCCTAAAGGTCCTTTTTTAAGATTTATTTATTTATTTATACAAGCACTGGGTACAGTCAGAAGCACGGGAGGGTGAGAGAATTCACCAGAGCCAGAGCGGGGAACAGAACACTAAAGGTCCTTTTTTAAATCCTAGCATGTCAGTCAGACCAGGTCTTACAAAACAGGTCTCTTGAATTTTCTAAATAATGATCTTTAGACCATACTGGTCCGAGATGAAGTTTTCAGCAGTTCTTGAGAAAAGGGTAATACAATCAGTATCTCAAACATTTTAAACAAAATTTCAGTTTATCACCATGTAACTAGAACCTCCCTACAATTTTGATGCTAAAAGTTATCTCATGAAGACATGCAGATCGAGGATATGTATTTTGATTAATACTCTTGGGCATTAAAATAAATTGGAAAGCTTAACTTTTTTTTTTTTTTTTGGCATTTTACTGGTCTGTAAAGTCCAAAAGTCTGGGAACCATTGAATAGTCAAATCTCTCGTTTTATAGCTGGAACAATTAAGGCTCAGAAGTAGGGACGAGAGTGACCTAAGATAACACCCGGTTTAGTCAGGAGTGGTTCTTCCAGCAGCTCCTTTTCTGTCCTTGTGTTGTCCTCAGGTAGGCTCTCCCCGACATCAGCACCTTCCAAGCAAATTAGATGCTATCCAGAGATGTCTTTATCATCTAGAATCTAGCCCATTCTCCCAAAGCATTCCCAAATCATTGGCACCTGACACCATTTCTTGCCCCATGGCCAGTTTCCCCACCTTAATACCAGACCCTGAGCTCCACCCATTACCTACTAAGTTTTCTCTTTACTTCAAAAAGGGGGATTTGAGGGGAATTACTCCGCTCCTGATACTGTTTTAAACCAATAATGGTAGATTTTATTACCTGTCCATATCCATTGTCATTTTTCATATATTTCTCTGCTTCACCTACATCACAAACACCTCAAGAACAATAGGGTTTTTTTCTTATGCTAGTACTTAGCATGCTCCTGCTATATTAGGCACTGAAATGTACATGAAACAAATAATGAACAATTAACAATTATTTGCACAAGGAACATTTTAATAGTTCCCAAACCATACAAACTTCTTCACTGTGGTCCTCTTGGTTTGCAAGTGGCAGTCAGGAATGAGGGACCTGGACCTGAATGGGAACAAGAAGGAAGCCCTAGAAAACCCCTTATTCCTGGTGCTCTGGTCAGTCTGATTTGTAAATGGGAAGGGAAGAAAACAACATTGGAGTGAGGCAAGAGGGAGAAATGAAGAGTTCCCTGGTGAGGAAAGGAGTTCAGGAATGACTCCACAGCAGGCCTGCACCCTGTCTCATCCCAGATGGCACCCTGTCATCCAGTAGGAAAGTGGCCGACCTGCACAGTGCAACCTCCATTCTACCCTGTGGAGAGAAAAGAGGTTGGTTCTTGCTTCCCATGCAGTAGCTGCTTCTCCACAAACAAGATGGACTCTTCGAGAGTCTCTTATGCAGAGGCATGACCAGAGTCCCTTTCATGCCTAGCTCTGTGGTCTGTCCTGCCCTGACCCTTCTGATTCTTCCTTTACATTCCCCTAATCCAAGGCGTTTGCCCTTTTCCCCCTTCAGGATGCCTTCACATTCTCTCAAGTCCTCATCTTCCTCTGAAGGGAGCGCATGCTATTTTATTACAGGGCTGAGAGTTGCTGGGGAAAAAAATGCCAGGTGCAAGCTCTACTCTCCTGCAGAAAAGGTCAGTCCTAGTGGTCAACATGTTCCTGCTTTGCATGGTGTTGTTAGAGAAGGTGAGGCACTCAATTCCTTCCATTGTCACTTGGAGAAGAAACCATTTGCATTATTTATTTATTCAGCTTGGAAAGGTGACATGGTGGTGACCACCACCACCACTTTTGGGGGTGTCTGGCCAATAAGACACACACTTATTATAGAAAATGTTGCTGTCAATTACATAAAGAAGGCCTCTTGGCCTCCATGATTGCATGACGTAATTGCCCTTGTGCCTACAGCTGATGAAACAAGGGGGGCGCCCCACAGGGTCTAAGCTGAACCCATCAGATTTCTATCTCAGGCACTTGAACTGAAACTGAGCCTAGCCAGTCCCTACGGTTGCTTCAAACACTAGCCCCTAAACTTGGGGTGGCTGTAGTCTGTCTCGTTGACTGGGGAGTCAAGCAAACTCATCCGCAGAGAGCACAGTGATGCCTATACCCCCAGAGAGGCAGAAACTTGGTGGAAAGTTTGCTGGCATTTTTCCGCCCTGTTTCCATTCTCTTCCAGAGACCCAGCTGAACCCTTGTGTGGACTCAGCAAGATACCTGGTTGTCTCAGAATAAAATCCACCTTAGCGAGTTTAAGTTCTGTTACTGCAGCTGAATGAGTTTTGTTGTTTGTGATAGGAGAGAAAGAACCAGGTCCCAGGCCTTCTGAGTCTGAATTCTAAGCCCCGCCATGGTCCTGCGCTTCTCTCGACTTTGCAAAGGAGTCCTTGCCACCACCCCTTTCTCTGTCACTGCATCCTGCTTGGGGCTTTGCCCACTAACTTAGTTCTACAGTGTCGTCCTCACCAGTTCTTCATCCCTCCTGTTTTAGACACAATCTTTTTTGCACAGTTGATGGATGGGAGCAGAGTGGGGCTCAGTATATCTGAAAGGGAGAAAGAGAAGATGGGTGAGAACATACAGGGCAGCCCCCCCAAACAGGCTCGCCCCGCCCAGAGCTGAGCACTTCCAGATTAGTCAAGGGCTCCCTCCCAGAGGCTCTTTTAGACACCCCTATAATGACTGCTGGAGGCTGGGGGTGGCCAGGGGTGGGGGCGAAGGGAACAGAAGAACTGCTTTGGGCCTGTTTGTGTCATAGCAGATATTGGTTCACCCAAAGTTTGGGGGTTTCTAGGGAAAGGAAATGTCAAAACAGGCAGCAGAGAGACTAAGGTAAGACCCCACCTACTGAGGAGGGTCCTCAGCAAGGAGCCCCAGGACACTGATCAGAGCCTGGAGCCTCCTAGATTCACCCCCAGGTAGGAAATTTGCTCTTGGCTTCTGATCAGTCCCTTAGCCAAAGACAGTACCTCTTAGTGGGGAGAGCTGAGCCGCCAGGGCCTCTAGTATGGCCCTGAATAATAGTAACATGTGAATAATTCTATGGGCCTCAGTTTATTCCTCTGTGAAGTGGGGATCACACTAGTTTCTACTGTGGGGAAGTTGGATGAAGTGAGCTCTGTATGTCAAGGGCTTGGCACGTAGCATGTGCTTAATAAACGTTGACTATTGCCCCACCCTGCTCGTACTGGTCGGGCAGGGCCTTTCTGGACCCTGCTCACTGCAGTCTCCTAACGGGACAGCATGGAGGCCATTCATCGGGCCCTCTGCTTAGGAAGGGGAGTCCCTGGCTCCCTGAACCATCCCTCTAGAGGCCTTCCCAGGCTGTAAAAGGGAAACAACATTCTGGGCATAGCTTCTGGTCCTCTCTCACCTCTCCCACCCTGGGGCCCTGGCCAGACCTTCACAGTCCATGTGACAAATGTTTTCTGAGTGACTCCGGAAGTCGTTGCACCAGTAGTGGCTGTTGATCTGGAAGATGCCATAGTCAAAGCTGCCGTCTGCATTTTCATTTACCTTTGATAGGTTGAAGTTGCTTTCCACAGAAGCCAGGCAGAGCCCTGAGGACAGGGAGGAGAGGGTTTTTAGAGGCCATGCTGAGGGAGAAGAGAGATGGAAGAGAACGGGAGATGAGGAATCAGAAGAAGGGAACCAGGCCTCAGACGTCTGATGGGGCTAGAAGTCCCCATGAGCTTCGCTCATCCTCTCCCCATCTCCCCCCCTTCAGTACAACCACTCATCTGTCCATCCATGCTTTCTACATCTAACCGCCACCTTAGGTGTGCCAGGAGCTGTGCAAAGCCCAGTGAGAGACATTTACAGGTGAGGGTCAAATACAGGTGCTTGCTTCAAGGGGTGTATAGTCCGAGAATGACTATAAGTACCAAAATAAACCAAAAAGCAAGATGAAAGGAGAAGATATGAGACAGGTATGCACAAATTCTGGCCACTACCTTGACTCACTACCACTACCTTGGAGCAGGATGGAGGCGTGTGTACTGGCTGTTCCCCCTCTGCCTGGAGTGCTCTTCCCCCAAGCATTTAGGTGACCAGGAACTTTGTTTTATTTAGCTCAATGTCACCTCCTCAGGGAGGCCCTTCTTGACTTCCCCTTCTACAACAGTGTTGCCCACCATTCCCCCCAACCCCCCGCTTTATTTTTCTGTACACCATTTATCACTCCCAGGAAGTATTTCTCATGCATATGTGTTTGTTTATGGTTTGTCTCTTCTCCTAGGACGTGACTACCATGAGGGAGGGGGCTCTGTTGATATCCCCAGCACCTACAGTAGTTCCTAGTACAAATAAGTGCTCAATTAGTGTAACTGTTGAGTGACTATGGGAAACTGAGAAAGACCTGTTGAGGACAGCTGTTCTTGAACTTGGCTTTGAACGAGGAATCTGAGAAACAGAAAGATAGTGACACAGGGCTTGGCCAGGAGGGGAAAAGGGGGGGGCACTCACAGTCGCTCAGGGTGTAGCCCTCAAGTCCTTCTACCTCCTCCTCATGCAGCACCTTGGCCAAGTCACAGCGCTTGATGAAGATGGCCTGGTTTGTGGTGGCGAGATAGCTGACCAGGCAGATGAGCAGCGCCCTCATCATCCTTCATGGGGAGAAGGTGCAGTTGATCCTGTGTTTATCAGGGTGTCTTAGCAGACTTCTTGCTGGTCTTTTCTGAGAGCCTGAGGAATCTGGAGGGAGCAACAAAGTATCTTCTCTCACTCAGGGCTTCCCACCTAGCTGTTTGCCCACCATTCCCAGAAGGTTACAATTTCAGAGAAGTAACAAGTAATTTCTTAGCCTTAGTGTGTCTCATGCAGTCCTACCCATCCTGACTGGGTAAGTTCCTTCCCAAACCCGCAGTGCTGAGCCGCAGAAAGCAGGGAGCTCCATCTCTTCCCATGATGTGCCCTCTTGGGGTTCCTTTGGTGCAGACAGGGGTTCTGGCAGGTGCATTCCCATGTCCCCTCCTGAAGCTTACCTTTCTCCTATCCCTCTCTGACTTCAGGTCCTTGCCAGTCCAGGGTTTTATATGAGAATCTGTAGAACAAAGCCCTTTGGAGCAGGAGCCTCTACTTCCTCATAAACTATATACTCAAGCCCTGCCCCATTCACAGCTCCTCATGTTCTAAAGAAGGTGCCTTCTGGAACCCTGGTTCTGTGACATCACCACCCTCTTGGAAAAACCTGTGTCTTAACCATGTAAATTGGCTCGGCCTTGAGGCCTATGCGAGCTCTAGGCAGAAAAGGCCGATGGGCCTGGAAGGATAGGGAGAGTGGAGACAAGCACCACAGGGTGGAACGGGGAAGTGCTCTGGCTGTTCTGTCTGCCTTCCTTCCTTCCCTGCTGGGCACATGACGGCTTTTTTGGGGTTGCCACAAGGCTCTACCCCCCAGGTGACAGGGTGTGCCAGTGCCACAACCTGGATATTTTGAATTAAAACCAAGTGGGGCAGCTTAGCTTCTCACAGGAAACCTGAGTGTGGGGCCAGAGGGTGACCACTTTAGAATCCTGTGGGCGTGAGGTGGAGTGGAGTGGAGTGCAGGCAGGATTCCAGTCCCAAAGTCCACCCTTCCTGAGACCTAACCACACACTTCTCTTTACCACTGTCCTGTGATTCAATAAATGTCCCTTCCTGAATAGACAAATTTGAGCTAAGTTTTGGTTCCTTGCAACCAAGGACACCTGTCTGTCAGAGTGAGTGGACATCTGTGAAACAATGACCTGCTGAATAATTATTGGGTCAAAATAAAATCTGGAATAACAGGCTTACAAAACAATGAAAATGACAGGTACTTATCAAGATTCTGAAATTTACCACAAGCTGTATTTAGAGGTAAATTCATACCCTTAACTGCTTTCATTCAATTAGATGAAAGCAAATGAACTGAGCATTCAGTTCAACAGGTTAGGAATATACAAGAGACACATTTCCAAGGAAAACAGGAAGAACCAAAGTATAAGAATGATAAGCATAACATACTCAATTGGCTGAATTCTGGGGGAAATATTAGGGTGTCATGTTAAATATGGAGTTAAAAAACACAGGCTAGGGCCTCCCCTGGTGGTGCAGTGGTTGAGCGCTGGGCTGCGAAGCTGCCCGCAGCCTCTGCAGCACCAGTTCGATCCCCGGATGCTGGGCGAGGGTCCCACATGGTGCACAGACCTCTCCTGACGCGCCCGCTTCGCCCCTCAGCAGTGTACTTCGTCAGTCTGCCTGTTCTGCTCCCTGCTCTGACTCTGGTGAATCCTCTCACCCTCCCGTGCTTCTGACTGTACCCAGTGCCTGTATACATAAATAAATCTTTAAAAAAAAAAAAAAAAAGGAAGAAAGAAAAGAAACACAGGCTACAGAACCTAAATATTATATGACCTCCCACACTTGCCATGCACTTCAGATTCTTCTCTGTAGCACCAGGGTTGGGTAACTAAATTCTTCAAAGTTCCTGGAATGAGTTCCTTGCTAGGACAGGCCACTTTAAAGCCAAGGGTTACCACAGACAACAGGAGCTTTTAATAATAAGTCAGCTGGTAGTTCATCCAAGGAGGTAAATATAACTGAAGGTCATACTATTAGTAAAAGTTTCTAAAGCCTTTGTTGCCTTAAAGGCATCGCTAACACTTCCCAAAAATTATACTCCGCCCTGAGCAAGACAGAGAAGTGCCAGTGCTGCCCCCTAGTATACAGGGTAAGAAAGAAGTCTATGTATTTGCTTTAGCAAAGTGTCTATGGTTGCGCTGTGAAATGCCAGACAAGTGAAATGCAAACGCACCTTGGAAAAACCAAAGTGGTCCTTAGTGAAAGAGTCAGGGTAATTGATAGACTGGCAAAATTCCACGGTGGTCCAGTCCAAAAACACCATTCATGTAACAGAGAAAGAAACAAAAAGACAAGAAACAAGCACTGATGAGGTTTTAGAGGAAAAGGAACATTTTCCCACTGTGTTGTATAAATTGGTGCAGCTGCTACAAAAACAATAGTATGAAAGTTCCTCAAAAAATTAAAATTAGAACTATCATGTGATCCATTAATTTCACTTCTAGGTATCTATCTGAAGACTATGGGCCTCACTGGTGGCGCAGATGGTTGAGCGCAGCACTGTGAAGCTGTCCGCAGCCTCTGCAGTGCCATTTCAATCCCCGTCGGCCTCGGAGCAACCCACATGGTGGGGCAGACCTCTCCTGTCTCGCCCACTGCTCCCCTCAGTTGTGTATTTCAGTGGATCTGCCTGTTCTCCCTACTCTCTATGGTGAATCCTCTCACCCCCCTCAACCTGGTTTATACCCCAGTACTGGTATACATAAATAAATCTTTTAAACAAAATTTAAAAAAAAAAGAATAGGTGAAGCCCCCGATGATGTCACCATATGCCCAGTGTCATCACTGAGCACTTACATGGAACTTACCTCTTGTTTGGTTACTTTCCTTTAGTTTCTCTTACCTATTATTGTTAGGACATTATATTGAGTGAAAACTTTGCTATCATTTTGAATGGATAAACAAATCTTGGTACATTCATACGGAATATTACTCAGGCAAAAAGGAGGGCATTCTATTTACAGAAAGTTCTAGAAAATGTAAACTCATCTATAACAACTCATAGCAAATTAGTAGTTGCTTGAAGATGGGGTGAGCTGGAAGGGGTGGAGGGAGAGATTACAAAGGGGTGCAAGGAGAGTTTGAGGGATGATGGAGAGGTCTCTCCCTTGATTGTGAGGATGGTTTATTTCATGGGTGGACACACATGTCAAAAATGATCCAACTGAACCTACAAATATGTGTCACTTATATGTCCATGACTCAATAAAGCTGCTTAAAATCTTCAAAATTACTATCAACACACAAAACGTGTTGTATTTTATGAAAAGGGAGTGTCAGCCTGTGCTGGTTGAGAGCGCAGCATCAGGTCGATTCCAAAGTGGGGAAAATTTCTCCCATAGGCCAACCCTTTGTGCGATATGTTCTATGGCCACTAGAGGCCAGTAGTGGCTCACATTGGTTGCAGAGCACCAACACAAGAATTCCTTCCTGGGAATTCTAGCCTAGGAGATGGGCATTAATACACCCTAACGGAGCTAACCCTAACCTTTGGGTTGTAGTCTCTGACTTCAGATTCCACCCTGTTAGTCTCTCAACACTAACACACCTCCCTGTGCCACCTACAAAGGGGTGGAAGGGGTGTCCTGTCTCTGGTGGGGCAGCAGCCACAGCAGGTGTGTATCATTCACAGGGCTGATTTGGAGTAGACAGAAATGGCACCAAAGGGTTATGATCCTCCAGTGCCTTTGGAAGACCCCCAAGGCTCAGGGTACCCTCTGGATTGGCCCTCCACCTTGCCTGAAGCCCACTATTATAAAACAGGGCAGGTTTCCATTATCAGATGTTACAACTTCACAGGCTTAGCCAACAAGAATGAAGCCAAGAAGATAATTTCTCTAAGGGCGTGGGGGAGGAGAGGAGGTTTGATGAAGGGTGGGGACCGGATGGTGGAGCACCTGTGGGATGCTACGATGGGTCTCTCCCAATAAAAACACTTGCTAGCACCTATTGTTGAGTCTTCCCAGTGTGTGAGGATGGATGCTAAACAGTGCACACAGAGATTCATTTCATCCTTACAGCACTGTTGCAAAATTACTTGTAAGGAGGTGAAGTCACTCACCTCAAGTCACAGAGCTAGCAGGAGGTTGAGCAAAGATTCGAATCCAGATTTGACACCAACGTAGCAGCCTATGAGTCCATAGTTGTCATTTTAATGAATTGTCTTTCTTGCTCCTTGGGGCTGGGGCATTAACTAACTCATGTGTTAAAATGGTTGGTGTTGGTAGCAGGTGGTGGGTATTTTAGTTTTCCTTCTGGAGAGAAAGCTCCTGATGTTCAAGAGAATTCTAAATACTTGTGATGGTTCAGAAGGGAAGTTCTCCCCAGTTATTTGTTGAGCATTTATAGAAAAGCGTGAAGTTCTGTGCTGGAGGTTGAAGCATTCATGGTCACGGTGTTTGGAGGCCATGTGGGCAGAGGACAGCAAGGAACTGAGGGGCAGGCGACCTACAGCAACCCAGTGGCATTGTTCATTTGTACCCATAGGCAGCAGTACCTCATCCCTAGTGGAGTCCTGAGCAGGATGCAGGCCCAGGAACTCAGCACAAGTTCATGGCCAAAGATAGCCAAAGCATCCTGCTGAGCAGATAACTCGTGTCTGAGGTCCATGGGTGAGCGGAATCCTCCAGCAGTTTCTCTTCAGAATATCCTTTCCCTTGGATCTGAACGGTTGCACCTGGGACCATGAAGCTGGATCCTCCAGGGGAGGCACCAAGGGACGGTACCCTTCTGTGGTGCCCCACAGAGCTGATGCTAAGAGGTAGATGTCAGTCCAGGCACAGGTAGGGCCTCCATGTGTGACCACCACTTCTTATAAAAGCGAGCAGTCCTGGCGAGCAGTCCTAGGGAGACAGAAAGCCCGTCTTCATGCAGATGGGTCCATTCTGGGGAGCGTCCATACCGCTGTGTTGTTAGCAGGTCAACACGTTGTGTGAAGCCAGGGTCTCCTAGGCTGCACGGGTGAATCTGGGGCCAGCAGCGATTCCAAGCCAAAGCCATGAGTGGTAGCTGCCCACCATCATGGCTGCAGCAGCTCCAAGCACCTGCAGCTGTGGGTGAACTTGGGCCGCAGGTTCTGACTCTGAGAGCAGCTATGGAGAAAGAAGTGACCTTCGTGGGGCAACTCTGTGCACTCACACCTGTGACCCTGTGAGTTGGGCACACTTATCACGCGTTCATAAAATGCCAAAGGAGCCGGAGACTTCAAGGATGGGGCGCCTCTCTGACTCCCAGAGCCTGGTCTCTTCACGAGGCTGGGACTTGCCTATGTTGGGTGCTACGGCAGCACCCCAGGGTATGCTGCATACACAAATGACCAGGGGCCATTTGATTAGATGCTCATGTCTGTATTTTTTTCCCCAAGTTAAAAATATATGGCCTCTAAAAGCTGACTCCTTTATCTTTCTTTGTACTTTTATTTTTTTTTTGTAGAACATATGGAAAATACAGATAATCCAAAAGAAAGAAAATTAAATCTCTCCCAGTCCATCCAACAGAGATGACCACTATCAATGTTTTTCGACATCTATTGTTCACAGATGTGAGTCTGGTGGAAATTTACCAAATTTACCCAAGAGGAGTTACGTAGCACCTTGCTGTTAGATAATCTACTTTTCTTCACTTGACAATAGAGAGTGGTCATATTTCTATGTCATCGAGTAGTTTTCTACAACAGTAATTCTGCATTAGAACACCCCACCCAGGGTAACAACACTATTGATGTTATATTGAATTTGTCTGGTATGGGCTCAGGCTACGGGAGTTTTAAAGACTCCCCAGGTGGTTCCGAGCTTGCGAGGCTCTGTGTGACTGTATCATTTTTCAGTGGTGGCCTTGCATTTGCTTTGCTGAAGGAACACGCTATAATTTGATTAATTCCCTTTTCTT